TTCGTATCTGTCTTTTTCAAGTTCGTCAACTCCAAATTGATAGTGGGTTGTATTTACAGCCACGGTGGCACTTCATGTAGTTTATAAGTTGCAACTGAAGAAATATTTAGATCCGCATCTGTAATTGTTGTTGAACACGAATGCGAAGTGGAGGAATTGAGCTAGGTTTCTTGTCATATAAAGTCTGATAAGGAGGATTAAAAACCATGTTAAACACAGGATTGGATGGATTGGAATGGGGTTTTGTGACGTATTGCAGGGCCATATTTATCCATCTGATATCAAGACACGGTTAATTAGTTTCAACATATAAACTTTCAACAGGGGAAGTTCGAATACACCCAGACACAAGCTTAGACCTTAATGATGAATGGTGTTAAGCTCTTTAATGTACGATTGATGGGCTGAACCATATATGAAACACCGTAATCAAGTTTAGATCGAATCAATCTTCTATACAGATGTAACAGAGTGTGTTGGTCTCCACCCCATTTAGCATTTGGTAGCATACTTAAGATACCAAGTGCTTTCAAACATCTAGCCTTCAGATGTTTTTATATGAGGTATGAAAGATAACTTATGATCAAAGGTAAGTCTCAAAAACTTGACTGCTTCTTTGACTGCGTTTATTGGAATATTATTCAAAGTCAATTCTGGATCCTTATGTAATTTCCGTTTTAGTTTTAGAGAACTAAAAACCCTTTTTCTAGAGACCATTTATATATTATATTGAGGCAAACTTTCTTTCAATGGTATTCACATTTCTACAACGGCAATATACACTGAAATCATCAACAAATAACAAACCATCATAATTATCACTTAACACTTTTGCAAGTCTATTGATTTTTATGCTAAAAGTGTCACTGATAAAAAAGACTTCCCTAAGGGACCACTTTTTCCTGATCATTTATCTCAGATATTGTGGAGCCCATTTAACTTTAAATTGTCTATCTTCTAAAAAGCGTGTGATAAAATCAGGCAAACTGCCACGAAGACCCATATCATAGAGATGACATATTTCCATGTTGTATTCTAGGCTTTCTCTAAATAAAACAAACAACATTAATGCGACATGTTGTTAATAAATAAAACCATTGCGTACACATGACCCTAATCTAACTAGAGGATCAATGGTGCTCCTCTGATGCCTGAAGCAAGAATGTATATCAGTTATCAGGTTATTAGATTCCAAATACCAGACAAGACGCCTGTTGATCATTCGTTCCATGGTTTTACAGATGCAGCTTGTTAAAGCTATTGGACGGTAATTAGAAGTATTCGTGTGATCCTTTCCTGGTTTTAGCACATGAATTATATTAGCCTCATGCCAAGAAGAAGGAAAATTGCCCTATTCCCAAATATGATTGAAAATGAACAAGAGGGTTAAACAAGATGACTCAGGTACATGTTTCAATAATCGATAATGGAGATCATCTGGCCCATATGCTGTATCATTAACTTTGTTTCGAGCCTCTTGCAGTTCACACAAGGATAAAAATTCATTGTAGTCTTCAGATTTATCGGATGTGAAATTAAGAATCTTCTTTTCCTGCAGACTATTATACGTTTGAAATTTGGGATCATAGTTTGGAGACGATGAATATTTACTAATTGTCTCTGCCAGCTTTTTAGCAATGTCTTTTTTGTAAGTTAATGCCTCAGTATCAGCTTTTGCGTGTTGAAGACTGCTAGTGCGCCCTTTTATCCCTCGAACCATATTCGATACTTTATTGAGTGGAGTACGTGTAGTCAATTTGAAAACAAAATGTCTCCAGCTGCTTCGTTTATTTTGCTGGATGGTTCCATGAGCTCTTCGTATCTCCAAGTGTTTTAAGTTATATTGAGTTGGATGTTTATTATAAACTCTTTCAGCCTCTTTCCTGGTCTTTCTAGCTTTTGGTGTTTGAACACGTAGAGTTGGTAATGCTGATTAATGTATCAGAAAACAGTCTAATTTGGTCATGATCATTCATAAGGTGATCAACGTTCAATTTAGTACCAGACAAAGAACTAATTGACAGCCAATCAGCCTTCATTCATAAGGTGATCAACGTTCAATTTAGTACCAGACAAAGAACTAATTGACAGCCAATCAGCCTTGGAAAATAGCCATTTGGAAATGGAACTATCCACAAAATGAGATATAGATTTAAGCACGGTAGGAAAGTGATCCCTGCCGCACAAATCACCATGACCAAGAAAATTTATTAAATAATGATGCGTCAGAAATGGACAAATCCAACGCTTAGTATGTACCTGTTGCCGGGTGGAGGTAGGTGTTACTTCAATCATTAGGCAGACATAGACAATGCTTATCAAGAATGTCTTCAAGTACTTTTGCTTTTATGTGTAGATGAACCCCATGAGGGATTGTGACCATTTAACTCGCACACAATAATGAACGGCTTGGGAAGCTGGTCAGTGAGATGATCCAGATCCCATTTGATATGATGCAGGTATATATATAAGGAGCACAGTTATTGCAATATGTAAACTTATACATACTGCAACGACTTGTAGGTTCATATATGGGGCAATAGGGCTATGTAGTGTACCCTGTTTCACTAGTATACTTGCATCACCAGAGGCCTTACCATTGGTAATACTTGCAATCGAACTGTTAGTATCATACTGGCGTAAATTTATTGGATGATCATCTCTCTGAAACGGTTCCCGGAGGCTAAATGCCTAGGGGTTATACTCTTGAGCTAACAGTTTTATTTCCTCAAAATTAGCACTAATACCTCGAAAATGTCATTTTATTAGCGTATTTGTCATTTATTGGAGAGCGCTTCAGGCCTTTTTTCTTAGGAGAATGGCTCTTGGAGTGGGTGCTCTGATGGTGTGACACTTCCATATCGTCTAGAATGCCAAACCTGTTGATCTCTTCGATCAGTTTTATTTGTTTTTTTTTAATAGTCCTTATTCATATTTTTCTTTTTCTCAAGTGGAGAAGAAGTGGTTTGAGCTTCTGTTGTTTTTTATGTTTGTTGGAAGATTCAGTTGGTGTAAATGAAGAAGTAAGATCACGAAATGCTCTCTGGTGTGTCTGTATTCACCCAAGTTAAGTCAGTTTGACAGTGAATTGATTTTTAGACGGTTTCATAGCCTCAGCTTAGGTTGACTTACCTCTCAAGGCAATGTTATTGAAGCAGCTAACTTCCTTGCATCTGAAAAAACTAATATTCTTTTCTGTTTTTATGCTTTGAATGGTCATTTCAAACTGCCAAACTGAATACTTTTTAGATAATGTCATGTGTGGACCTGAGCAATGAACACAATTTAATTCAGAAGTACATGCGCTGCTATCATGACCTTTGCCTCCAAAACGGTAGCAGGCAGCACGATAGGTACATGATTGCTGCCCATGCCCAAATATCTGGCTCCTCAGATACATGTCAATTCTCATAAAAAAAGCATCTTAACTTTAATTGATTCCGGCGACTGTGGAACATCAAACTTAAGGAGGTAAGTGTTAGAAGGTAAATAAACTCCATCCTTCTTAAAGTTGTAACACTTGGCCTCAACATTCCTTTGCTAAGGTTCAAGGATTTGTGTGGATAGCATTTGATTAACATATTTTCAAACCATTTTGTTTCCATGAATCTATTTACATATTCTTTTAGAACTGCAACAAGGCTAATTTAGGTAACCTCCTTAATAGTTCCAGCAATGCTTTGAATTGCTTCTTCTAATTAAAATGGAGAACAAGAAGTCAACTTTTTCTCAATTGTCACTGCAACAATGAATCGAATGCAAGTTTCACGTTCAAGATAACACAATCTGTTGATCATATCCTACTCATCATCAGTATCATCAGTTTGATAACGTTTTTTTTTTTTGGGGGGGGATTTTGAGCACTCAGGGTGGTATGGTTTGTGGTTCACCCTCCTGGCTCCCCATCCACCATGGAGTATCCACAAGGACTACGCCAAATGCCTATGGGCTTCAAACAGGCGGCACCATTGATACCAAGAGGGTGTAATCAAGCGGAAATAATGTACCACCAGACTGGCCCATGAGCCACCGCCTTCTGGGCTTTAAGACTCAATGCAAATATTGCAAATATTTCAACAAGCAAATATATACAAATGTTGAAAACAGCTTGAACAGAGTTGATACAAGGAGAAATCAGGTCAAATCTGTGCTAAATAAGATAACGCACAGGGTTCAGTATGGCCAGGCAATTGATAGGACCATCAACCCGTCTAGGGTAAGTAAGGGTCAAAGTGGTGTATTGGGCAAAAGAAAGCTATTCCTGAAACCACTGCCCTCAACCTCAAGACTCCCGTCCTCCGCCGACACAGGGATGCAACCAACGACAACGGGTTGCCCAATTCGGTCGCCTTTTACGACCAGCAATGGGGTGCTGAGGACACATTCTTATCTACCCGGGTCCCCACGGGGGAAATTGTAAAGATGAATGATATCAAGACTCAACAAGAGGGCACCAAACCATGATGCATAGTCCAAATTAATATTCCATATTTGCTGAAGCTTTCTTCAACCGACTTTTGCACATTTGTTTGCAATATGTTCTGCTTTAACAAACCCCTCCAACTAAACATAACCATGCCTCCGATACACAGTGTTCTTTACTTACTTTTAATCTTACATGCCCATGCCCAAGCTATTGGTTTGAAGCTTTTTCTTCTTTACAGAGCCATACTATTGAGGAAAGCGCCAATGCAATAAAGTGTTCTTCGTTACGGGGGGCACGGGGGGCCCAGTCGTCTAATGCGCCGCGATACGCTGTCCAGAGTTGCGTCCCTTGGGCACGCCAGAAACCTATGATTGTGGGTTCGAATCCCGGTTCGCCCCGATTATGTTTCCATGTTTGTCAGCACCATACCCGTGGTCACCGAAGTGGTAGACGTCTGAGCCCTGCATCACTTTGGGCTTTCCACCACATTAAGCTGACACGCCGCGATATAACTGGAATACTGTTAAAAAGCGGTGTTAAACCCAACTCACTCACTCACTGTTCTTCGTTACAGAGCCTTCTTACTGAACATACCAATGCTTCTCATATACGGTGTTCTGCTGGTGATCACAGGGCTGCAACTGGCCGCCTACGTCTTCACCACCCAGTGTGACCCGTATGAGGCTGGTTACATCACAAACAGGAACCAGGTACACCTTGATTCATTCCATTCTTACTGTAAATGAGCGGACGTTTCGAATATAAGACGCTTTCAGCAATATTTCAATTCTATCACGGAAGGTCACATAGAATGCACTTGATGTAACCGTGTGGGAAATTGTACTCGGCCTTCGATTTAACAAGACAAAGTTTTATGCACTGTGCTATGCCAGAGCCCTTTTATTCACCACATATCAGTGTTCATTTCATGACCATATCGTTATCGAGTTGAGTCTTTCTTTCTGATTTTGTCCTTGTGGTGTGTTAAGAGTGGTTTTGTTTAGAGTGATATTTTTCTATGCATCGGAAAATCTATGGGTTGGTTTGTTGTGCAATGCCGCTCCGCACAATATTCCAGCTACATTACATCCAGCAATCTATAAAATAATCAGATAATCCAGCAGTGAATGATATCATGAGAATCGAATTTACTAACCTCTTACGATGTTTTTTGGGATCTATATTCTTACAATCTTTCACAGTGAGACAGATAAGATGAGACTCTTTGTCGCTCTTTCTCTTGATATGTCATCCAATGCCAGTGTACTACGTCTCTGTGTAGATGATGCCCTACTTTGTGTTGGACATCCTCGGCTCCTACCCTGGCCTGGCTGGACTCTACATGTCTTCCCTGTTCAGTGGAGCGCTCAGGTAATGTCAGCGTCAGGGCAGCTGTTGTTAGTTTTAGGAGTGAGGTGAGCAGTCGAAAAGACAAGTGCAAGCTACAGATTGTCTGGTATACTAATAAGAGCTGCCAAAATAATACTTATACCTCATATTTGACACCCCTGTCACCATCTGTGACTACAAGATTCGCTTGAGGCAATAGATATTAAATATATTGTCGTAAATCTTTTCTGTAACTGTTTCCATTTAGAGACATTGAACATCATCACATGTGGATAATCCAACAGTTGAAAAGTTGTGTAAAGCTCTCTATTCTCGGATGATACAGATTAAAAGGTTTTCAACCATCTTCCATTATAGATATTACAGTGGTTCATTTTATATATCCTATAAAAAATATATTATACCACTGTTTTGCAAAATTAATCCTTATAGAAATATAAATGTGACTCCGTGGTTGGATATATCAGCGACAAAAAGCTAATAATATGAAACGCTAACGTCAGTGTATAACCAGTCTGACTTCGGGGGGCATGAATGGCAAACAGATTACAATGAATGGTGGTCCAGTGGTTATATTTTCCTATTGATCTAGATCCAGGGTGACAAAATTACTTTCTACAAGGCTCCATTGCAAGACGAATGACTTCAGCTTTCCATTTGTCAACTTTCCCTTTACGTCAAGCAATATTCCAGCAGGTCCAGCCTTTAGTGTCTACAGTTTACAATTTCTGAGGTACAATCGAACATGCTCTTTCTATGAATATTTCAGAGCGCGTCATACGATTCTAGCTTAACAGTTGTTTGATCAAGCTTTCAAAATGTGTTACTGTAATATACTAGAAGTGATAAAATGTATGGCCGATGCGATTCCATAGTTTGACTTGTACCATATGTTCCAACGTTTTTTTATGGACAATAACTGACTTGTCTTTTCATGTGTTTGTCAAGGGTGCCACCAGTGGGGCAGGAGACGCTCACATTTAAACCAACAGCTGGTATCATCACTGTGTGATTCATAAACACATGCTCATGTATACATCTTCGTTTATATGTTGTCGTACAATCGACTCTTCTCTAAACAGAAATTTCTTGTGGTTGTGGAAATGTTTATGTCGCTTTTATTTACCAGTGAGACAAATACTTTTACACAGTACTCTGTCCTCTGGCATCAACGCTTTGGCCGCCAACACAGTGGCAGATATCCTGGTCGTGCCACTGCGCCGATCTTCAGAAAGGACATCCACAATCATTGCTAAATTGGCAGGTAATATTGACTCAAAATGTCTTGTTAAATGATTTTCCTTTTAATTGATCTATGCAAAAAATATCAGAGTGTCAACGGTCACTCCACAAGACTTACGACAAGAGGCACGACTTTTATTTCTCGTCAAACATCATTCTTCCAACTTTTTCAGTTCCTAGACAGTAATAAGTAGTGTCTTAAGTGTAAAAAAGTACTGCTAACGTCTTCAGTAGCAGAGCCATTAGTGATGTCATTGGATTGGGATGTCATGGTAACAGGTTTTGGATGATAAATGAAGTTCTTCAAACAATTAATTTTCAGTTTGACACCTGGTTACATTTCGTCATGAAATTCAAGCCGTTGACATGCAATAAAATGGTGATTATGCATCAATCAAATAGTACCTCTTTAGGCAAAAATGCAAATTACCGGGATAATCCACGTGCGCAAAACCCCCAACCAGCAGCTCAATCACCAAGCTACATCGTTTCTGTTGGTTCACGCTCCAATGCACTCGACTTACCCATCCTCCTTGGTCTAAGGGAAACTGACACGCCTTACGATCCAACAACGTTTTTCGGTCTCAGGGAAACTGACACGTTCATGCCATCAGACACCCCTTTTCAGTGTTTCGGAAACTGGCTGTGGCTTCCTCAGAGTGATGAATGGGGAGGGTGGGACGTCAATAACAAGCATGCACAATATATATTTTTTATTGTTTACTTAATTGCGCACGCTTGTTTATGGGGTGCTAATACAGTCACTTATTAACTCAGGCAGGAAGCCAGTGAATCGCGTTCGAGCCGCAGCAGTGCTAATCATATTTGAAAATCAATTACTGATATCGATTTTGTCAATAATAATTGATGTTCCATTGTATTTGAGAAGTCATGTGTTGAACACTGTGTGAGAGATCCCGTGCTTGTGTACTCCTTATTGTCCCAATGCCAAGAGCTTGGTACCACTGTCCCATTGTGCTGTCATTTTTTCAGTTTGTTTCTACGGACTCCTGGCTATAGGAATGGCGTATATGATTCGATCACTCCAGGGGCCAATAACACAGGTTGGTGCAACGAAACATGAAAAGTCCTCTTACCATACATATTTAATTTTACTAAGTTAAATCAGGTGTACCTGGCCTTTGAGTGGGTGAGAGAGTTGGATTAAACGCCGTATTTGAACAGTATTCCAGTTATACCACGGCGTGTCAGGTTGATATAGGGGGAAAGTCCGAAATGATGCAGACATTAACCACTATGATGAAGACCATGAGCACGGGTACCAAGAAACATAAGCGTGACGAACAGGGATTCGAACCCATAATCTGGTTTCTGGCGTGTCAAGGGGACACAGCTCTGCACAGGGAGTTTCCGGCGCATGAGACGACTGTGCCACCATGCCTCCTACTGACCTTACGAGGAAATAGTCCCAGTTAAATTGTCAGTTTCACTTAGTTTGATTCACATTGTTCTAAGCACGCTTTGTTTGTCTGTTTTCTCAGTTTATAGGTTAAGGATGTACTGAGTACACATACAAATTGCCACAGTTTGACACATGGCGCAGACTGTAATGTCTAGACAGGCATACTCATGTATTAGTGTAGGTCCGTTTCTTGTCCTATTGACGTATATACGAATATGAATATTACAAAATACGAGAGGGCATTCTGAACTCATCATAATCAATGGGATATCACCATCCAAAAAACTTCATTACAGCACATTTTTTTGTTTGTTGATATTATATATTTTTATTTACAGAAAATCATGCTTAGTATACATACATAATGAGGTATAAACCTCTTAGAAAAACAATTGCATCACGCTTCAAGTTCAGATTTGCTACATTATGACATGAAGTATTTCCATTTACACAAATCGATTCAGAGTGTTCAGTGTGCAAACTTCCCTCCTTTGCTGCAGATGACACACGCTGTGTGGGGAGCTGGTGGCGGTCCTGTGTTAGGAATGTTCTTCCTGGGAGCTGTTTTCCCAAAGGCCAACAAAGTGGTAAAAAAATAACTTTGCTTCAGATTGTTAAAACTTAAAAATTGTTTCCCAAAACAATTACATTGTTGCAAGGTGCATTTCGTTATAAACATATTCAGTCTGACAGTTTTAATCAATAATATGTCTGGTTTTGCAGATGTAACTGAAAAAATATCTAATCTCCTGACAAAATCCCAGCCTCCAGAATATCAAATGGTCAATCCCTAGGGTCCAATACAAATTTAATACTACGGGACCGACACGAGATCCACCTGCCACGGGCCCTTTGGCAGGCACTTATTTTGAACACAGCTTCCAACTGATTCTTCCAGTTCACAACTGAAACTGTGACGATGGTTCTCATTGCGTATAAGAGTATCTTGGTATATATCTTTATTTCTATATGAGATGCCATAGGCCATGAACATTTGAAAGAAATAAGTGATGTTTACAGAAGGCAAGCGCAATTGTGACAATTATTTATTTGACAGTGACAATTTTGATAATCGTGTACTCAGGGCTTTTTTCACATGTTTCGCTGTATTCAGAAGTACAAAATGAGTATTTCACTTTGTTAGCATTATCAGCGACATCACACCTTTACTGTTACAATACATACTCTGCAAAACAGAAACGCAAAGTAGATATCTGAGTTTTGCTGACATCCATACAAAATTAATACTAAAAATGAATTGGTCATTTCCTCATGAAATGGGATTTATTTGTGTGTAAAGAACGCGGTACGACATACATTTGGTGAACAGATTGGAAAATCGTAAAAACACAACCACGTGAGAGACGAAAGATACCAAAGACTTTCACGTGCAACATGACTTGTTCGGCTACAAAAAAAGTTCGGTTAGCATTTGCTTGTGTTATATATATATGTATATTTTCTTTTCATGAAGAATATATAAAATGTACTTAGTTTTCATGAAATGTACATACCTTCTTATATTTTGTGTTGCTTGTGTACAGATTGCCAGTGATCAACACTGACCAATTACACTTCACTTCACATTGTCTATATGTAAGCCATGGAAAGCTCACAGCCCAGTGAAGTCTGATGTTACGCAATTGTAGCTTTCCTAATGCTCGATAGCAAGACGGAAGTCGTCAGTTCCCAGGTCGGGTTTTGGTGTTAACTGACATGTCATGTCGGCAAGATTTTGAACTTTTATTGGGTATGCCATGTCGGCAATGTGTGAACTATGGTGAATTACGGATTTTATGAAACATTGACTGGCTCTTGTTCGGAAATGATGAAATATCACAGCATAAAGTTGTTATGTATGGAAACTGTTTACATGATTCACTCGCAACACATGCGATCGCAATGTTACAGCAATTGAACAGCGAAAATATGCCACGACAAACGTTATCAATCCAACAAATCAACTGAAAACAGGAGAATCATTTTCAGCTGCAGCCAGGTTTTTCAACGTTGCACCAAGCACCATTACATGACCGTGGAACCATTATCAGAACCATGAAACAACACAGGACCTTCCCTGGTCCGGTCGACCACGTATCACAACTAGAGCACAGGACAGATTCATACGGCTACGTCACTTACGTGAAAGAACCACCTCGGCCACATCTCCAACTATGGCAATGCCAGGTTTACGTAGGATATCAGCCCAAACAGTGAGAAACCGTTTACGCGTCCTCCTCATTATGCAAGAAGCGAATGTCATTTTCCAAACAAGACTGACAACAGACTTGTTCAGGAATCACAACATCCAGGTCCTACCATGGCCCTCAGGGTCTCCAGATTTAAACCTAATCAAACATTTACGGGATGCACTGTACGAACAACAGCCAACAGCCACAGAACCTCCGACAGTTGGTACACGCACTCCAGGCAGAGTGGTTAAACATTTCCCAGGTCAACAATTCAGGATCTGATTTCTTCCATGGGACGACGATGCCATGGGACGCTAATGGTGGCCACACAAGATATTGAGAATAGATTACCTTCGCCATGAAACTTTACTATTACATGTGTGTCAAATGGAACCTGGGTCAATGACAACGATGTGTGCCAGTCTTGAACAATCGATTACCATCTGTTGATAATTCATACATGAATGATGCATAAATTATACCTCTCAAATCACTTTTGCTTTTCTCTATTAACCTAAGTCTCAAATCAAAATATGCAAGACATATAAATACAAAATGTATTTCATCTTCAATGCAACCCGAATTACACATTTCACAAAGTCGATGTTCATAATCAATATCTAATTCCAAAGAACAAGATGTTTTATTTTCTCCTTGTAAATAATGTAATACCAGATTTTAACAGATTAGAAAGGAATGTGTCAATACCACAATTCGTTTGTAATTTGTCGTGACAGGAATATTGTTTATTAATCCAATGAATTTTTAAGCTAAACTTGAAATGTTTTCATTTTCATGTGTAGGGAGCTCTGTGTGGAGGTATATCAGCTCTATTAGTGACTGTCACACTCAGCATTCTACAAGAACTTCATGGAGTCAAGCCGACCACTCTAAACCCCGCACCTCTAGATGCATGCCCAGGAGAATCCTATCTAGAGGCGAATAGTACCATGGCATTCACAACCCCAAAGATTCTGAATACAACATTCCCACAAGATTATATTCTGAATTCTCATCACGAAGGGTATGTTTTTAACTATAACAAAAACATGTGTATAATAACCTGTGATTCCAGATTAGAATTTTGTAATATTTCCAGGTTAGCCTGGAGCTGACAATGTTGACTCGTTCGATTTTTCAAACATGCATTCACAAAGTAAACTCCATTCTTGATGACACCGGCTCTTAACTCAATATGTTTTGCTGAAAGGTAAATCAAAATAAATTTGCAGTAAATGCAATTGTCCAAGATTGTAAATTGTATTTCTGTTTTTTTTCGAGCGAACGGTTTGAAGCTCCATTGGTAGAATTCACTCCATTTTGTCAGCACCATACCCGTCCTCATGGGTTTCACCCAAGAGGTAAACGTCTGCGGCCTGCATCACTTTGGGCTTCCTTCCCACATTAAGCTGACATGCCGTGACATAAAGGGAATACTATTCAAAGCTGCATTAAACCAATCTCACCCACTCTCTTGGTGGAATGATTAAAATGTGTCAATTATGTCCCTTAACCTTCTCTACACGGAATTCCATTCAAGTTCCCTGCACCTTATAGTGAGTGAGTGCGTTCAAAACTAAAGTCACATCGGCAATAGTTCAGCCACATCCTAAGTACACAAAGTTATACATAAATACCAAATCAATTTAGAATATATAAAGCCTGTCAATAAAGGACAGTAAAATAACTAGAATGTCACAGATTTGTATCAAAGCTAGTATGAAAACATTGAAACACATCATGATGTATAACAATGCATTATAAAACGGGCTATAGATCTAGCGCACCATCAACCAAAGTTAGGCCACCATACATGGGACCACTGGGACTTACGGTACTTCTGCTACCTTCATGGTACCCCAGCAGGATTTACACCATCCCTTTACCTACCGACGATTGTCATTAAAGAATTATTATAGAATTTAAATAGCAGTAGGAATAGATCTACTTTCAATTATGTGGTTCCTCTCAGGGGAAACTTATGTACCATAAACGTTATTGTCAATCCAAGGTAATAAACATTTAGATTGTCCGAATATCCTCTTTGTGCAATTCCGGTAAATCCGAAGGTGACTCAAGATCTTGCTTTCAGTCAATGGCTACTTGGGCTCGACTTCATTGTTTGACAGACCATCGGAATATAACCGGGATATTGCTGGGCATTAACTCTCTTTTAAGTATTCTGAAACAGCATGTTCAAATAAGGATCAGCTCTATGCTGTGGTTCCACAGATTGTCTGCAGTGCCATTCTACCTATATGATGTGTCCTACGTGTGGTACGGCTTCATTGGCTTCCTGGTGGTGCTGGTTGTTGGTGTGGTCACAAGTTGGATCACCGGTGAGTCCAGCCAGTGTATAAACATATGGTATATACCTTTTCGCAAACACCTGGTATCATCACTACTTGATAGTGATTCTTAAACACAAGCTCATTAAACCGCCGGAATCGTACAATTCACTATGGTTTCGGCAGATATTTCATATGAATATGGAAAGGGTTTTGTCACTTTTATATGTGTGTACGCCAATTTGAATGGCATTTCAGTTGTGTCAGGCGCGTGGGAGTCTAGTCGTTGGTAAGAGAGAGGTGAGTTAGGTCTTCGCTATTTACCATTTGTTATAGGCATTGATATGGTGCTGGGCAAAAAAATATAATCAGAGCGAATCTGAATCAAACCATTCTCATAGAATCCTGTCATGCATAAGGGACGCAACTCACATGTGTCTTGTACAATGCCTTGTGACAATGTCATTATATGCTCATAGAAGAACCTTCATTGGCCCTATGGTTGCATGTGGGCACTCAAATTGTGTCACACTACTGTTAACATGTATTTCGATGGGCGGGTTTGCTAAAGAAGTGCTCCTGAATAAGTATTTTCTTTTGGTCATCAGCAAGAACATGGTCTAATATAGGTTCGATACCTCTGGCGAACCAACCAGAACCCAGAATTCTAAAAGTTTCTTGGTAAAATGAATTTCATTGTGGACCGTTGCACATGCAATCCGAGATCTGGCACAGAGTCGATTATTTACAGGCAGTCCTGTTATGGTCGGAGATATTGCTAACATGCGACGTAAACCAAAGCGAACACACTCACCTCATGAAATCAAGTATGTTTGCCCAGAGAAATACTAATCCCATTACATGTTCTTTCTTTCTGACAGCAAGCCGATACCCTCAAACAGTGGACCCGCAACTCCTCTTTCCGTTTGCGCGGCGACTGTGGAAACTGTCGAGTACAAGCGGGATGCAGCTGACACCTTTACCAGGGAATGAGACTTACGTACCCAGCCGGAAAAACAGCCATGACGAAACTCTACCTGTCCCTTTCAACACGGCAACACGGACGCCACAGCAAGTCTAAAGTCGGGCCAAGCAACGATGAAATTCAAAACAAAGACGTTTCAAACAACATGTACATCACCATTTAACTGTTTAACCGACTGGTGTTGGGGAATTTATGCTTAGCGTCATTTTAACCACTGTTCAGACACGCTCTATTCTTATTATTAATTTTGGTCCAATACGACAAAATATTTGGGAAAAATCCTAAAAATGGAAATCGATCTTGTCCCTTTGAGTGTCCCCATAACATTAGACATTTTGGATCAGTTATATGTTGCAATTCAAAAGTTAAGCCTGGTGTAGATAGATTTATTGTATATCATAAGCTATTTATTCAAGAATTAGCAGATCTAGACCTTGCCTTAACTGTTTCCGAGAATAAAAAAAATGATTGCTATTTTGTAACAAGGACATGCAGAAATTGGTGATGAGAATGTCATTGATATGAGCATTGTTATTTGGAAGTGCAAAAGTGTACTGGTAACGGATGAATGGTGTGATGGTAGATGGATAAATGACAAAATCAAAACCGATGACATGAGGTAAATCTTGAACAATTAACAACTATAGTTTATTATCAAGAGCTTTGGTTAGGAATTCCATGAACGGTGGCAGTGTTCTAAATTTTGAATGATTACATCAACAGCTGAGTACTTTATTTGCAGCTTTTCGCGTCGTGACAAACTTAGAGCTCCGACAAAGTGCATGAGAGCGCACAGGTACATTGAAAATGTATTGTGTAGCAAAACAACCTAAGGTGTTTGCCTTATGACACTGAACACGCAAGCTCAAAGTGTTTGGCTTTCCACGAAAGGGCTGAAAATTGTATCACCGTTAATAGTTTTCCACAAACAAACAAATCCTGTCCGGAAATACACTTTCCTTTTCTTTGTTTGTGTTTTTTTGTTGTTATTTAACGCCGCATTCAGCGATATTCTAGATATATGATGGCGGTCTTTGAATAATGGAATCTGGACCAGATCATCAGTGATTGAGATCATGAGCATCGATCCACGCAATTGGGTTACAATGACATGCATCAAACAGGTCAGTAAGCCTGACCACCTGATCCCGTTAGGCGCTTCTTACGACTTTCTTTCCTATTCAAATGTCCGGAATAAATTATCAGCAAGTCACTTGACTGAAGCACGTTATATTGTGAAATATGACAACAGGCCATTAAGTGACCTGTTATCTATCATGTACACCTCATGGAGACGGACTGGACAGCGTTCTGGCTTCTCCGAATGATAGTTTTCATGCATTGGGACGAATATTCCGTTCTTGATCAAATTGGAGTAGTCCCCCCTCTGTCCCACTCTAAACAAATGATGTTCCGAGCTATCCCTCAAACGTACATGTATCCTGTTCATGTAGATGGAGGTGATCATGCGAGTGTGTTTTGAGGTGGTTTATATCCTACGTTGGGAATATTCAATGCAAAGTTCTCTAAATGATTATTCCTACTACAGGGTATTTACCATTCGAAAATATACAAGCGTGACAACGCCTGTCAGCGAGGTTTGACGTGTTGATAATAGCTCTCACTGTTTGGCACACGTGGGGCTAGATATTGTTACTTCTTGCGAACTTAAATATACTAATAATATCACGAAGGTAAGTTTAGAATACAGTCAGCTTAAAAAGATGGATTTATTTTGCCATATTTTTCTTTTCGGGTGAAGTTCTGTTACATGGACTTCTCCCCCAATGTGACAAATCTCAAATGATGTCCTAAACACATTTGAGGAAACATCTACTGATGCAGAATTCGCTGAAAGTTATATCAAAATGCAAGGACCATAAAATAGAGGGACGGCCCTCCCTAACAGTTTATCACTTTCCATCAATGCTACGGTCTTACATGTAACACTCATACGCCTTGCTGTTAACCTCCCTCTACCGCTGCATGTGCGCAAATGACTGACAATTCCGGTAACCACATAAACAACATTACATAATATCCGGGTCTAGAGTAAATTCCCTCAGCCGCGATTTCTCTGACTACGACCCGCGACAATCAGTCAACTACTGAAATGTCTTGAATAATTTGCATGTTGATAAAGAGTAGTGGATAAAACTCTTGTCTTCCTCACTATCTTACACTGGAACGCTGAAAATATTGTGGCCATGTTGAGAAAACCTTAAGTATTTCACAACAGCCAGACATTATTTGCGTCGAAGAGACAGATTTGCTGCCTGAAAGTAATTTCGCAATTATTGGTATACCAGGACAGAATAAGCAATAATTCTAATTTAAAAGAAACCCTGGACGGGAGCTTGCCCTTTTTCTCTCAAATCTGATGTATATTTCAAAGAGTGAGTGAGTTGGGTTTAACGCCGCTTAAACAGTATTCCAGTTATATCGCGGCGTGTCAGCTTAATGTGGGAGGAAAGCCCGAAGTGATGCAGGTCTCAGACGTTTACCACTTCGGTGAAACCCACGAGCACGGGTATGGTGCTGACAAACCTAGAAATATAATCGGGGCGAACCGGGATTCGAACCCACAATTATAGGTTTCTGGCGTGCCCAAGGGAGGCAACTCTGCACAGCGTATCGCGGCGCTTTAGACGACTGGGCCCCCCGTGCCCCCGTATATTTCAAAGAACGCACATTACCAAGAACAGTTTTTGAAACATATGCGGTAGAAATATATTATGGTGATAAAAGGAGAAACCATAGTCATTTATATCTACAACACTGAAAAAAATCTAGTCTGGAAGATTAAATGGAAATTGTTGAGATACCTTATGGCCATTACTTCATGTGTGGTGGCTTCAACAGTCATAATGAATTGTGGGGCAGTGATAAATCGTATTTCAACCGAACAGTCAAAGGGGAGGGGGTATTACGTGTGTGTGGGAGGGGGGTATAATAAAGGAGACATCTGTATCTATGCAAAAAGATTCAGAGTGACAGAACACTTTTCACAAGACTATACGACAAGAGAGATAATTTCAACTTTACAAAAGTGAACTTTTCCTTCATGTCGAACAGTTTGGCTGCAGCTCCAGTCCTTGTGTCCACGTTTCACAACTTGCGAACTAAAATTGAGCATGCTATTTCTTCCAAGATTTCAAAGAACGCCATACGACTCTAGCCAAGAAGCTGTTTGATCAATGTTTGATCAACATTCAAGGCCTCAAAAGGTTTATGGAAGACATGTGGAGGACATTTCCAAATTTGACGCACCAGTGACAAGAATAATGTCCAATGCAATTCCCTATCTGGACTTGTACCATATGTTCCCGTGGTTTTTTTCAGGTAAGCACGCAATTCCTATCATAATCAACGTAACTATTGGTGTTAGAAGCCAACTCATTGCTGAGTACTTTGTAATATTGGATATTATTGTGTACAACCAACAGTGGCTAAAGTGATCACGTAATTCCTGCTGGGGAATCGTGCAGGCACCATAAGTTCCCATTATCCCGAGCGAGGTGGCCTAGCTTTGGTTACTGGTGGCTTATTGCCCGTGTTTCAAACAGATGTTGATATTATTGTAATACCTAAATATGCTTGACAAATAGTTTTTTAAATATAACTTTGTATTCATGACTCAATTGTGTACATATATCAACTTGTTCTCGTCGCCATATGGCTGAAATAATGGCAATTGGACGTTAAATTTTAACTCACTCACTGGTAGTGACGAGATGAAAAATGCAGTTATCTAGGTGTGTCAGCACCATACCCGGGCTCGTGTGTTTCACCAAAGTGGTAAAGTCTGGGATCGGCATCACTTCGGGCTTTCCCCACACATAACGCTGACACCCCGTGATATGACTGGAATACTGTTAAAAGCGGCTTTAAACCAAACTCACTCACTCACTGAATAGGAAAGGACCCATGAAGATCCGGGGTAGAATAAATCTTCAGCAACCTGTGCTTGTCGGAAAAAGCTAAATGTAAGAAGTCTGGCTAACGGGATTGGTTGGTCAGGCTTGCTGACTTGGATGATGCATGTCATCGTATCCCAGTTATGTGGATCGATGCTCATGATGTCTGGTCCAGACTCGATTATTTAAAGACCGCTGTCATATAGCTGGAATGTTGCTGAATGCGGTGTTAAATAACAAAGAATCAAACACACAAACAAAAGAATAGGAAAGTGTATTTCCGGACATAATTTTTTTATATGTGGAAAACTATTCACGATGATACAATTATCGGCCCTTTCGTGGAAAGTCAAACACTTTGAGTGTGCGTGTTCGATTTATTAGACAAGCACGTTAGGTTTCTTGAAGTACAATACATTTTCAATGTGCCCTGTCATGGACTTCAGAGCTGTGGGTTTGTCAAGACATGACAAGCTGCAAGTAAAGTGCGTAGCTGTTCCGACCACTGCAACCTTTGAGCTCATGCGTATATTTCATGGAATTCCTAACCAAAGCTCCTGATAATAAATTATGGTTGTTATTTGTCCAAGATTGACCTCATTTCATTGGTTTTGATTTTGTCATTTTTCCATCCAACATCAAACCATTAATCAGTTACCAGTACACTTTAATACTGCTCATATCAATGACATTATCATCACCAATTTCGCATGTCCTTGTTACAAAATAACAATTATCTGGTATCATTTTCTGAAACAGTTTCGATTTCTGGTGTCCCCCGCCGTGATATTGCTGGAATATTGCTAAAAGCGGCATAAAATCATATTCACTCACTCACTCACTGAAACAGTTTCGGCATGGTGAGCTAATTCTTGAATCTATAACTTGAATGATATGCAATAAATCTTTCTACACCAGGCTTAACTTTTGAATTGCAACATTTAACTGATCTGATGTTATGGGAACAATCAAAGGGACAAGATCAAATTTCCATTTTAAGGATTTTTCCCAAATATGATATTTTGTCGTATTGGACCAAAATTAATGATCAGAATAGAGCGCGTTTGAACAGTGGTTAACATGACGCTAAGCATAAATTCCCCAACACCAGTCGGTTATACTCTCGGTAGATATACATGAGTTAAATGGTGATGTACATGTTGTTTGAAACGTCTTTGTTTTGAATTTCATCGTTGCTTGGCCCAACTTTAGACTTGCTGCGGCGTCCGTAATGCCGTGTTGAAAGGGGCAGGTAGAGCTTCGTCATGGCTGTTTCCGGCTGGGTACGTAAGTCTCATTCCCTGGTAAAGGTGTCAGCTGTATCCCGCTTGTACTCGAGACTTTCCACAGTCGCCGCGCAAACGGGAAGAGGAGTTGCGGGTTCACTGTTTGAGGGTATCGGCTCGCTGTCAGAAAGTAAAAGGACATTTAATGGTATTAGTATTTCTCTGGACAAACATATTTCGATTTCATGAGGTGAGTGTGTTCGCTCTGGTTTACGTCGCATGTTAGCAATATCCCCAACCATAACAGGACTGCCTGTAAAAATCGACTCTGAGCCAGACCTCGGATTGCATGTGCAACGATTCACACCGTTGTTATTTTTGCTAAATAATATGTAGCGGTTTATATATTATATAAGGCAAGTGAGGCAATATTTTTAAGGTGGAAACTTCACAAACAATATACTTAGAGAGTGTATAATGAAATTCAGTAACATCAACATTGCTTGACATCTATCACGATTAGACTTAGAAGCGATACCTGCAATTATACAAAATGAAATAAACAGCCGAGCAAACGAAAGTACACACTTGAAAATTCACACTTCACTCTGCTCATTGGTGTGTATTGTGCAACTGCGACCCTCATGCTCCTCAGACATCAAGTGCACGTCAGTTTTTGCGAGATACTCATTGACACGATGCATGTAATATCGCCTGTAATACCCGTATGAAATACATCACAATCACCATTTCTTGTTAGCTTGATTTTTAGCCACCGTTAAACATAGGTAAACATTTTCTTTTGCCTGTTAGTTTTAAATCTCTACTTCTGATTCATACTTGAGGAATTGCATCAAAGATTCTGGACCTTTCCGCATCTGGCTGATTTTTAAAGGAAAATATTTAACAAACATTGAAAAGTGGTAACCATCCAATACATGTCGAGTTAACAGTAGTACGACACCAGTGGAGTTTCTATATGCGGGTTCTTCTATGGCCATATTATATACTTGCATTGTACAAGACACATGGGAGTTGCGTGCCTTATGCATGACAGGATCCTATGAGAATGGTTTGAATCCAAGATTCGGTCTGATTATATTTATTTTGGCCAGCACCATATCAATGCTCGTACCTAAAAACATGGTAAATAGCACAGACGTCAATCACCTCTGATGACATTAAACTGACTTGCCTTGACACAACTGAATAAAATCGACAAAACCCTTTTCATATTCATATGAAATATGTGCAAAAATCAAAGTCAATTGTACGATTCCGACCTTTTCATGAGCTTGTGTTTAAGAATCAATATCAAGTAGTGATGATACCAGGTGTTTGTGTATCCTGCTCAACTGGTGGCACCCGTCACAAACACATGCAACGGCAGGTCAATTGTTCACCTGCTTATGATGCCAATCACTGGATTGTCTGGTCTAGACTCGATGATTCACAGACCGCCGTCATATAGCTGGAATATTGCTGAATGCGGCGTGAAACATCAATCAAACAAACAAACAAACAAACAAACAAACAAACAAACACCTAAAAAAACACGGGAACATATGGTGCAAGTCAAAATAGAAAATTGCGTCACTAATAATTCTAATCACTGATGCGTCAGATTTGAAAATGTCCTCTACATGTCTCGCATTAAACGTTTTAAAAGCCTTGAATTCTATAACCTTGTTTAAACAGCTTCTGAGTCGTTTTGCGCCCTTTGAAATCTTGTCAGAAGGAAAATGCTCGATTGTACCTCAAACGTTCTGAAATGTTGACACCAAGGGCTGGTGGAGCTGCAGGATTAGTATTGCTCGACATACAGGGAAGATTGACTATTGGAAAGTTGAAGTCATCTCTCCTGTCATATAGTCTTGTGAAGAGTGTTTTGTCAGTCAGAATCTTTATGCATAGATCTTAATATGAAACAGACGAGGCGGTCTCACTGGTCTTCTTTGTTACTGGTTCAGGAGGGTATATCAGTGGAAGGGAATTAGCTATTTGATGGTTATTGAGCGATATCAGATCACTAATATACCTGATTCTTTAGTTGAACTTATTGAACAAATTACTTTGTTTTGGCTTTGCCAATCCGCGCAAGAATTCCGCTAACTAAATATATATACACTGGCTGGACTCACCTGTGATCCAACTTGTGACCACACCAACAATCAGCGACACCAGGAATCCAATCAAGCCGTACCACACGTAGGACACATCATATAGGTAGAATGACACTGCAGACAATCTGTGGAACCACAGCATATAGTTGATCCTTATTTGAACATGCAGTTTTAGAATATTTATGACATAAATATGTTTGATACAAATGTTATGATTAAAACTTTAATTACACGATTCTAATCTGAAATCACAGGTTATTATACACATGTTTTTGTTATAGTTAAAAGCATACCCTTCGTGATGAGAATTCAGAATATCATCTTGTGGGAATGTTGTATTCAGAATCTTTGGGGTTGTGAATGCCATGGTACTATTCGCCTCTAGATAGGATTCTCCTGGGCATGCATCTATAGGTGCGGGGTTTAGAGTGGTCGGCTTGACTCCATGAAGTTTTTGTAGAATGCTGAGTGTGACAGTCACTAATAGAGCTGATATACCTCCACACAGAGCTCCCTACACATGAAAATGAAAACATTTCAAGTTTAGCTTAAGAATTCATTGGATTAAAAACCAATATTCCTGTCACGACAAATTACAAACGAATTGTGGTATTGACACATTCCTTTCTAATCTGTTAAAATCTGGTATTACATTATTTACAAGGAGAAAATAAAACATCTTGTTCTTTGGAATTAGATATTGATTATGAACATCGACTTTGTGAAATGTGTAATTTGGGTTGCATTGAAGATGAAATACATTTTGTATTTATATGTCTTGCATATTTTGATTTGAGACTTAGGTTAATAGAGAAAAGCAAAAGTGATTTGAGAGGTATAATTTATGCATCATTCATGTATGAATTATCAACAGATGGTAATCGATTGTTCAAGACTGGCACACATCGTTGTCATTGACCAAGGTTCCATTTGACACACATGTAATAGTAAAGTTTTATGGTGAAGGTCATCTATTCTCAATATCTTGTGTGGCCACCATTAGAGTCCAAAACTGACTGGCATCGTCGTCCCATGGAAGTAATCAGTCCTGAATTGTGACCTGGGAAATGTTTAACCACTCTGCCTTAGCGTGTACCAACTGTCGGAGGTTCTGTGGCTGTTGGCTGTCGTTCGTACAGTGCATCCCATAAATGTTTCATTGGGTTTAAATCCGGAAACCTTGAGGGCCATGGCAGGACCTGGATGTTGTGATTCCTGAAAAAGTCTGTTGTCAGTCTTGTTTGGAAAATGACATTCGCTTCTTGCAAAATGGGAAGGACGCGTAAACGCTTTCTCACTGTTTGGGCTGATATCCTACGCAAACCTGGCATTGCCATAGTTGGAGATGTGGCCGAGGTGGTTCTTTCACGTAAGTGACGTAGCCGTATGAATCTGTCCTGTGCTCTAGTTGTGATACGTGGTCGATACGTGATATGTTGTTCCATGGCTCTGATAATGGTTCCACGGTCATGTAATGGTGCTCGGTGCCACGTTGAAAAACCTGGCTACAGCTGAAAATGATTTTCAGTTTTCAGTTGATTTGTTGGATTGATGACATCAGTCGTGGCATATTTTCGCTGTTCAATTGCTGTAACATTGTGATCGTATGTGTAACGAGTGGATCAAGTAAACATTTTACATACATAACAAGGAGAGATCACACAACTTTATGCTGTAATATTTCATCATTTCCGAACAAGATCCAGTCAATGTTTCATATAATCAGTTATTCACCATAGTTCACACATTGCCGACATGGCATGTCAGTTAACACCAAAACCCGACCTAGGAACTGACCACTTCCGTCTTGCTGTCGAGCAATAGCCAAGCTACAATTGCGTAACATCAGCCTTCACTGGGCTGTGAGCTTTCCATGGCTTACATATAGACAATCGAAGTGAAGTGTGTAATTGGTCAGCAACATAATATATAAAAAGGTATACATTTTATGAAAACTAAGTACATTTAATATATTCTTCATGAAAAGAAGATATACATTGTGGATTCTCATAACACAGGCAAATGCTAACCGAACGTTTTTGTAGCCGAACAAGTCATGTTGCACGTGAAAGTCTTTGGTGTCTTCCGTCTCTCACGTGGTTGTGTTTTTACGATTTTCCCATCTGTTCACCAAATGTATGTGGTACCGCGTTCTTTACACACAAATAAATCCCATTTCATGAGGAAATGACCAACTCATTTTTAGTATTAATTTATTTTGTATGTCAGCAACACTCAGATATTTACGATTTTGCTACTTTCCGTTTCTGTTTTGCATAGAATGTATCATAACAGTAAGAGTGACATGTCGCTAATAATGCTAATAAAGTGTAATACTCATTTTGTACTTCTGAATACAGCGAAATATGTGAAAAAAGCCCTCAGTACACGATTATCAAAATTGTCACTGTCAAATAAATAATTGTCACAATTGCGCTTGCCTTCTGTAAACATCACTTATTTCTTTCAAATGTTCATGGCCTTTGGCATCTCATGTAGAAATAAAGATATATCCCAAGATACTCTTATACGTAATGAGAACCATCGTCACAGTTTCAGTTGTGAACTGGAAGAATCAGTTGGAAGCTGTGTTCAAAATACGAGCACGGGCCCGTGGCAGGTGGATCTCGTGTCGGTCCCGTAGTATTAAATTTGTATTGGACCCTAGGGATTGACCATTTGATATTCTGGAGGCTGGGATTTTGTCAGGAGATTAGATATTTTTTCAGTTACATCTGCAAAACCAGACATATTATTGATTAAAACTGTCAGACTGAATATGTTTATAACGAAATGCATCTTGCAACAATGTAATTGTTTTGGGAAACAATTATTAATTTTTAACAATCTGAAGCAAAGTAATTTCTTTTTACCACTTTGTTGGCCTTTGGGAAAACAGCTCCCAGGAAGAACATTCCTAACACAGGACCGCCAGCAGCTCCCTCCACAGCCTGTATCATCTGCAGCAAGGGAGTGAAGTTTGCTCACTGAACACTCTGAATCGATTTGTGTAAATGGAAGTACGTCATGTCATAATGTAGCAAATCTGAACTTGAAGCGTGATGCAATTGGATTTCAAAGAAGATTATACCTCATTATGTATGTATATTAAGCATGATTTTCTGTAAATAAAAATATCTAATATTAAAAAAACAATGAATGTGCTGTAATGAAGTTTCTTGGATGGTGATATCCCATTGATTATGATAAGTTCAGAATGCCCTCTCGTATTTTGTAATATTCATATTCGTATATACGTCACAAGGACAAGAAACGGACCTACACTAATACATGAGTATGCCTTAACGGTATCATTCTACGAGTCTTCTCGAAGGTAAAGTGGCCTACGTTCTGTTTCCCCCTTACCGTGTAGACATTACAGTCTGTGCCATGTGGCAAACTGTGGCAATTTGTATGTGTCCTCAGTACATCCTTAACCTATTAACTGAGAAAACAGACAAACAAAGCGTGCTTAGAACTATGTCAATCAAACTAATTGATACTAACAATTTAACTGGGCCTATTTCCTCGTAACGTCAGGAGGAGGCACGGTGGCACAGTCGTCTCATGCGTCGGAAACTCCCTGTGCAGAGCTGCGTCCCTTGGACACGCCAGAAACCAGATTATGGGTTCGAATCCCTGTTCGTCACGCTTATGTTTCTTGGTACCCGTGCTCATGGTCTTCATCATAGTGGTTAATGTCTGCATCATTTCGGACTTTTCCCCTATATCAACCTGACACGCCGTGGTATAACTGGAATACTGTTCCAAGCGGCGTTTAATCCTACTCTCTCACCCACTCAAAGGCCAGGTACACCTGATTTAACTTAGTAAAATTAAATATGTGTGGTAAGAGGATCATCACAGATAATCTCAACAAATTGCCTAAAACTAGTTCCTCTATTTTCTGTTGGACTCAAGCATTCTGGAATCTGACTTTTCATGTTTTGTTGCACCAACCTGTGTTATTGGCCCCTGGAGTGATCGAATCATATACGCCATTCCTATAGCCAGGAGTCCATAGAAACAAACTGAAAAAATGACAGCAAAATGGGACAGTGGTACCAAGGTCTTGGCATTGTGACTATAAGGAGTACACAAGCAAGGGATCCCTCACACAGCGTTTAACACATGTCTTCTCAAATACAATTAGGGAACATCAATTAGTATTGACATAATCGATATCAGTAATTGATTTTCAAATTTAATTAGCACTGCTGCGGCTCGAACGTGATTCACTGGCTTCCTGCCTGAGTTAATAAGTGACTGTATTAGCACCCCATAAACAACCATGCGCAATTAAGTAAACAATAAAAAAATGAATTGTGCATGCTTGTTATTGACGTCCCACCCTCCCCATTCTTCCCAAGGATTGGTAAGTCGAGTGCATTGGAGCGTGAGTAACGAGGTAGCTTGGTGATTGAGCTGCTGGTTGGGGGCTTTGCCCGCTTAGAGTGCGCCCGGTAATAGAATTACTATTTCGTTAATGCATAATCACCATTTTATTGCATGTCAACGGCTTGAATTTCATGACGAAACGTAACCAGATGTCAAACTGAAGATTAAATGTTTGAAGAACTTCATTTATCATCCAAAACTGGTTACCATGACATCACAATCAAATGACATCACTAATGGCTCTGCTACTGAAGACGTTAGCAGTACTATTTTACACTTAAGACACTTCTTATTACTGTCTAGAAACTGAAAAAGTTGGAAGAATGATGTTGGACGATAAATAAAAGTCGTGCCTCTTGTCGTAAGTATTGTTGAGTGACCGTTGACACTCTGATATTTTTTGCATAGATAATTAAAAGGAAAATAAGTTAACAAGACATTTTGAGCAAATATTACCTGCCAATTTTGCAATGATTGTGGATGTCCTTTCTGAAGATCGGCGCAGTGGCACGACCAGGATATCTGCCACTGTGTTGGCGGCCAAAGCGTTGATGCCAGAGGACAGAGAACTGTGTAAAAGTATTTGTCTCACTGGTTAATAAAAGCGACATAAACATTTCCATATCCACAAAAAAATCTCTGTTTAGAGAAGAGTCGATTGTACGACAACACATAATGGAGTTGTATACATGAGCATGTGTTTATGAATCACACAGTGATGATACCAGCTGTTGGTTTAAATGTGAGCGTCTCCTGCCCCACTGGTGGCACCCTTGACAAACACATGAAAAGACAAGTCAGTTATATTCCTGAAAAAACAACTAACGTTGGAACATATGGTACAAGTCAAACTATGGAATCTCATCGGACTTAATTTTTATCACTTCTAGTATATTACAGTAACACATTTTGAAAGTTTGACCAAACAACTTTTAAGCTAGAATCGTATGACGCGCTCTAAAATCTTTATAGAAAGAGCATGTTCGATTGTACCTCAGAAATTGCAAACTGTAGACACTAAAGGCTGGACCTGCTGGAATATTGCTCGACATAAAGGAAAAATTGACAAAAGCTGAAGTCATTCGTCTTGCAATGGAGCCTTGTAGAAAGTAATTTTGTCACTCTGGATCTAGATGAATAGGAAAATATAACCACTGGACCACCATTCATTGTAATATGTTTGCCATTCATGCCCCAAGAAGTTACATTGGCGTTAGCGTTTCACATATGATTATTAGCTTTTTGTCGCTGATATATCCAACCGCGGAGACACATTTATATGTCTGAAAGGATTAATTTTGCAAAACAGTGGTATAATATATTGTATATAGGATATATGAAATGAACCACTGTAACATCTATAATGGAAGATGGTTGAAAACCTTTTAATCTGTATCATCCGAGAATAGAGAGCTTGACACATCTTTTCAACTGTTGGATTATCCACATGTGATGATGTTCTCATCTTTAGTAGACATGTTCAATGTCTCTAAATGGAAACAGTTACAGAAAAGATTTACGACAATATATTTAATATCCATTGCCTCTCAAGCGAATCTTGTAGTCACAGATGGTGACAGGGATGTCAAATGTGAGGTATAAGTATTACTTTTGCGGCTCTCATTAATAAAACAGACAATCCGTAGCCTGCATTTGACGTTTTTCGACTGCTCACCTCACTCCTAAAACTAACAAGAGATGCCCTGACGCTGACATTACCTGAGTGCTCCACTGAACAGGGAAGACATGTAGAGTCCGGCCAGGCCGGGGTAGGAGCCGAGGATGTCCAACACAAAGTAGGGCATCATCTACACAGAGACGTAGTACACTGGCATTGGATGACATATCAAGAGAAAGAGCGACAAAGAGTCTCATCTTATCTGTCTCACTGTGAAAGATTGTAAGAATATAGATCTCAAAAAACATCTAAAGAGGTTAGTAAATTCGATTCTCATGATATCATTCACTGCTGGATTATCTGATTATTTATAGATTGCTGGATGTAATGTAGCTGGAATATTGTGCTGAGTGGCATTGCACAACAAAGCAACCCATAGATTTTCCGATGCATAGAAAAATATAATTATAAACAAAACCACTCTTAACACACCACACGGACAAAATCAGAAAGAAATGCTAAACTCGATAACGACATGGTCATGACATGACATGATATGTGGTGAATAAAAGGGCTCTGGCATAGCACAGTGCACAAAACTTTGTCTGGTCAAATCGAGGGCCGAGTACAATTTCCCACACGGTTACATCAAGTGCATTCTATGTGACCTTCCGTGATAGAATTGGAATATTGCTGAAAGCGTCTTACATTCGAAACGCCCGCTCATTCACAGTAAGGATGGAATGAATCAAGGTGTACCTGGTTCCTGTTTGTGATGTAACCAGCCTCATACGGGTCACACTGGGTGGTGAAGACGTAGGCGGCCAGTTGCAGCCCTGTGATCACCAGCAGAACACCGTATATCAGAAGCATGGGTATGTTCAGTAAGAAGGCTCTGTAATGAAAAACAGTAGCATTGGCGCTTTCAATAAGAGGGCTAGCATGAACATTCACAATAGTATGGCTCTGTAAAGAAGAAAACGCTTCAAACTCAGTCTTGAGGTTGAGGGCAGTGGTTTCAGGAATAGCTTTCCTTTGCCAAATACACCACTTCGACCCTTATTTCACCTAGACGGGTGGTAGGATATATCGGCCCGGTGCTATCAATTGCCTGGCCATGCTGAACCCTGTGCGTTATCATATATAGCACAGATTTGACCTGATTTCTCCTTTTGTAAACTCTGTTCAAACCGTTTTCAACCCAAAACAACAAATTTATATATTTGCTTGTTTGAAATATTTGCCTAGCGTCTTAAAGCCCAGAAGGTGGTGTCTCATGGGCCAATCTGGTGGTACATTATTTCCACTTGATTAAACCCTCTTGGTATCAATGGTGCCGCCTGTTGGAAGCCCACAGACATTTGGCGTAGTCCTTGTTGATACTCCATGGTGGATGGGGAGCCAGGAGGGTGAAACACAAACTATACCACCCTGGGTGCTCAAAATAAAAAAACAAACCAAAAACGTTATCAAACTGATGATACTGCTGATGAGTAGGATATGATCAACAGATTGTGTTATTCTGAACGTGAAACCTGCCCTCGATTCATTGTTGCAGAGACAAGTGAGAAAAAGTTGACTTCTCCATTTCAATTAGAAAAAGCAATTCAAAGCATTGCTGGAACTATTAAGGATGTTACCCAAATTAGATCTGTTGCAGTTCTAAAAGAATATGTAAAGAGATAGAGCAGGCAGCTCTCATGGAAACAAAATGGTTTAAAAATATCCCAATCACATGCTATCCATACAAATCCTTGAACGTTAGCAAAGGAATGTTGATGCTAAGTGTTTCAACTTTAAGAAGGATGGAGTTTATTTACCTTCTAACACTTACCTCCTTAAGTTTGATGTTCCACAGTTGCAACAACCAATTAAAGTTGAGATGCTTTCTCTGAGAATTGACATGTATATCCCTAGTCATCTGAGGTGCCAGATATTTGGGATTGGCAGCAATCATGTACCTATCGTGCAGCTTACTATCGTTTTGGAGGCAAAGGTCATGATAGCAGCGCCTGTACTTCTGAATTAAAATGTGTTCATTGCTCAGGTTCACACGTCATCATCTAAAGAGTGTTCAGTTTGGCAGTTTGAAATGACCATTCAACGCATAAAAACAGAAATGAATATTAGTTTTTCAGATGCAAGGAAGTTAGCTGCTTCAATAGCATTGCCTTGAGAGGTAAGTCAACCTACGCTGAGGCCATGAAACCGTCTAAAAATCAATTGACTGTCAAACTGACTTAACTTGGGTGAATACAGACATACCACTGAGCGTTTCGTGATCTCACTTTTTCATTTACACCAACTGAATCTTCCAACAAACATAAAAAAACAACAGAAGCTCAAACCACTTCTTCTCCACTTGAGAAAAAGAAACATGTGAATGAGGACTACTCAAAGAAACCAAATAAAACTGATCGAATACCAAAAGGACAAAGAGATCCTGTGTCCATATTCAACAGGTTTGGCATTCTAGACGATATGGAAGTGTCACACCATCAGAGCACCCACTCCAGGAGCCATTCTCCTAAGAAAAAAGGCCGGGAGCACTCTCCAATAAATGACTAATACGCTATTACAATGACATTTTCGAGGTATTAGTGCTAATTTTGAAGAAATTAAACTGTTAGCTCATGAGTATAACCCCTAGGCATTTAGCCTCCGGGAAACGCTTCTGAGAGATGATCATCCGATAAATTTACGCCAGTATGATACTTACAGTTCGATTGCAAGGATTACCAATGGTAGCCTCTGGTGACGCAAGTATACTAGTGAAACGGTACACTACATAGCCCTATTGCCCCATATATGAACCTACAAGTCGTTGCAGTATGTATAAGTTTACATATTGCAATAACTGTATGTGCTCCTTATATATATAACAGCATCATATCAAATGGGATCTGGATCATCTCTTTGACCAGCTTCCCAGGCCGTTCATTATTGTGGGCGAGTTAAATGGTCACAATCCCTTATGGGGTTCATCTACACATAATGGCAAGGGAAAAGTACTTGAAGACATTCTTGATAAGCATAGTCTATGTCTGATTGATGATGGAAGTAACACCTACCTCCACCCGGCATCAGGTACATACTCAGCGTTAGATTTGTCCATTTCTGACGCACCATTTTTTAATAAATTTTATTGGTCATGGTGATTTGTGCGGCAGTGATCACTTTCCTACCGTGCTTAAATGTATATCCCATTTTTTGGATAGTTCCATTTCTAAATGGCTATTTTCCAAGGTTGATTGGCTGTCCATTAGTTCTTTGTGCTGTACTAAATTGAACGTTGATCATCTTAAAAATGATCATGACCAAATTAAACTGTTTTCTGATACATTACTCAACATTACCAACTCTACGTGTTCAAACACCATGGTACAATGAAGATTGCAAAAAAGCTAGAAAGACTAGGATTTGGTTGGTTGTTTAACGCCGCACTCAGCAATATTCCAGCTATATGACGGCGGTCTGTAAATAATCGAGTCTGGACCAGACAATCCAGTGATTTACATCATGAACATCAATCCACGCAATTGGGATCGATGAAAGTCAGCGAGCCTGACCACCCGATCCCGTTAGTCGCCTCTTACGTCAGAAAGACCAGGAAGAAAGCTGAAAGAGTTTATAATAAACATCCGACTCAATACACTTGGAGATACCAAATAGCTCGTAGAACCATCCAGCAAAATAAACAAAGAAGCTGGAGGCATTTTGTTTTCAAATTGACTACACGTACTGCACTGAAAAAAGTATCGAATATGGTTCAAAGGATAAAAGGTAAAGGGTGCACTAGCAGTCTCCCACACGCAAAAGCTGACATTGAGGCATTAACTTACAAAAAAAGACATTGCTAATAAGGTGGCAGAGGCAATTAGTAAATATTCATCGTCTCCAAACTATGATCCCAAATTTCAAACGTATAATAGTCAGCAGGAAAAGAAAATTCTTAATTTCAAATCCAATAAATCTGAAGACTACAATGGATTTTTATCCTTATGTGAACTGCAAGAGGCTCTAAACAAAGCTCATGATACAGCATATGGGCCAGATGATATCCATTATCGATTATTGAAACATCTACCTGAGTCATCTATTTTAACCCTCTTGTTCATTTTCAATAATATTTGGGAATAGGGTAATTTTCTTTCTTCAATCTTCTTGGCATGAGGCTAATATAATTCATGTGCTAAAACCAGGGAAGGATCACACGAATACTTCTAATTACCGTCCAATAGCTTTAACAAGCTGCATCTGTATCTGATCAACAGGCGTCTTGTCTGGTATTTTGAATCTAAAAACTTGATAACTGATATACAGTCTTGTTTCAGGCATCAGAGGAGCACCATTGATCATATCGTTTATTTAGAGAAGGCCTATGGTACAATATGGAAATATGTCTCCTCTATGATATGGGTCTTCGTGGCAGTGTGCCTGATTTTATCACACGCTTTTTAGAAGATGTCCAATGGGCTCCACATTATCTGAGCTATATGATCAGGAAATAGTGATCCCTTAGGGTAGTTTTTTATCAGTGACACTTTTAGCATAAAAATCAATAGCCTTGCAAAAGTTTTAAATGATAATTATGTTGGTTTGTTATTTGTTGATGATTTCAGTGTATATTGCCGTTGTAGAAATATGAATTCCCATTGAAAGAAAGTTACAACTTTGCCTCAATATAATACATAAATGGTCTCTAGAAAATGGTTTTTAGTTCTCTAAATCTTAAACGGAAATTACATAAGGATCCAGAATTGACTTTGAATAATATTCCAATAAAAGCAGTCAAAGAAACCAAGTTTTTGAGACTTACCTTTGATCATAAATTATCTTTCATACCTCATATAAAGACATCTGAAGGCTACATGTTTGAAAGCACTTGGTATCTTAAGGATGCTATCAAATGATAAATTGGGTGGAGATCAATAAACTCTGTTACATCTGTATAGAAGATTGATTCGATCTAAACTTGATTACGGTGTTTCATATATGGTTCAGCCAATCAATCGTACATTTAAGAGCTTAACACCATTCACCATCAAGGTCTAAGATTGTGTCTGGGTGTATTCGAACTTCCCCTGTTGAAAGTTTATATGTTGAAACTAATTAACCGTGTCTTGATATCAGATGGATAAATATGGCACTGCAATACGTCACAAAACCCCATTCCAATCCGGTGATTAACATGGTTTTTAATCCTCCTTATCAGACTTTATATGACAAGAAACCTAGCTCAATTCCTCCACTTCGCATTCGTGTTCAACAACAATTACAGATGCGGATCTAAGAATTTCCTCAGTTGCAACTTATAAACTACATGAAGTGCCACCGTGGCAGTTAATACAACATACTGAGTTGACGAACTTGAAAAAGGCAGATACGAACTCCTTATCATACCAACAAGCCTTCCTAGAACTTAAACATCAATATACAGGGTATACAAGCATATGCACTGATGGATCCAAATATGGTGATAATGTGTCAGCTGCAACTTACAAATGAAGGTACTTTATCATTACGATTAACTGATGGAAGTTCTACTTTAATGGCAGAGGCTAAGGCTATAATATTAGCTTTCCAACTCATTGAATGTTCGAAAGAGTCCAGTTTTGTCATTTTTTCTGATAGTTTATCCTGCTTACAGGCAACAACCGTAAAACTGACCATCCCTTTTAAGTTGAAATTTTGAAATGTCACCTGAATTTGTCCGTGGCGATTAATGGCATCGTCTTCTGCTGGCTCCCCAGTCATGTTGGAATCAATGGAAATACTAAGCAGATTCTGTAGCTAAAGCTGCTCTTTGGAAATCATTCTCGATAGGTACTTTCCCATATACACACCTAAAACCTGCTATTTGCCAATATGTTGGAAACAGGTGGCAGCAAAAGTGGAATAACAAGTACTAAATAAGCTTCATGTCATACAATCATTGATTGGAAATCATGCCCTTACTGGATAAAATCGTCAGAATGAAGTTGTTATCCGTCAATTGACTCATTCCTTTTCATTGAAGGGAGAGGATCCCCCTCAATGTATTACTTTCCATAGTCCTATGACTATCAAGCACCTTTTGTTGGAATGTATGGATTGTGCACTTATTCTTCAAGGTTTTTATACTGTTCAAACTATTTCTGAACTTTTAAATACCGTTTCTAACCACTTAGTTTTAGCCTATTTTAAAGAAATCAAACTGAATGACAGTTTTTACTGTTTGCTGTGATAAGGGACTGAAGTTTTAGCGATCGTCGTAATCATTTTAACATTTTAAAATAATGTTATCTAAAGGAAACGGATTTTATTTTTCTAGCCGCGAATAGCTGGAATATTGCGGATGCGGCTGAAAGTAACAGTTACTCACTCACTAATTACTTACATTTTGGATCCTTTCATTGACCGAATTGCACACATTCTCTGCATGGTTGTTTGGTTGAACATGTTGACGTACCAGTTGAAGAAACCTCCCAGAAATAGTCCCCAAACAGTGTGGCGAACGCGAGGATCGGGGCTGAGCCTGCAGAAACATTTGTACTAATTTAAGACTCAAGGGAGAGGATAATTACTCACTGTCATAGGCTGTATATCAGTGATCTCCTGGTGTATGCTGTAATCTGCAATCGTACTGCAATCCAATCCAAAATCAAATAGACCAATGAAGATCCGGGGTAGAATACGTCTTCAGCAACCCATGCCTGTCGTATGAGGCGATTAATGGGATCTGGCGATCAGGCTCGCTGACTTCGTTGATACATGTCATCGTATCTCAATTGTGGATCGATGGTCATATTGTCAATCACTGGATTGTCTGGTCCAGACTCGATTATTTACAGACCGCCGTCATATAGCTGGACTATTGCTGAGTGCGGCGTTAAACAACAAACCATCAAACAACCAAACCATCAAAATCAAATTACTTCATTCGAAATGTTAGACAGGTTCTTGTTGTGACTCCACACTCATGAACGGATAACACATGTAACATTAGAATAATATAAAATAATGATGCTTTACATTTAATAATTAAATAGAAAAAATATTTGATTTATATGCAATAAATAGAATAAGTTGAATGAAGGCACACCTTTTCCTTAATGCCACCAAACCGTGCCACAATATGTATCGTGAACCAAGTATACTTCCCTAAAACAAGCAGTCAGCAAGTTTGGTTTAATGGCACAATTCCTATTTTGAATAGGCCAAGGCTCGCTAAATACAATGTTTATTCCTAATGCAGGATATTTACCATTCCCAAACACACTCGCGTGATAACCTCTATATACCTTCATATTATTGTCTTTGAAAGATTATCCATAATCCTTAATAATCAAGGACTTTCTTTATATTCACAGAAAGTATTTGTAGTCTTAAAATCTTAAAGGATTTGCTTGAAGTTTTGCAATCTCAAAAAAAGAACCAAGTTCAAATGTGTCAAAACATGTGATTTGTCTATCCCATATGATAAACTTAAGAAAAAAATTCATTCCTTGATCCATCAGGCATTTGTCACTTAACGTGTTGACCATACCTGCAGTTAAATCTCTATCTTCAAAGGTTCAGGACAATTTGTCAAAAATGAAAGTAAATGTCATCTGATATTCACCGAGAAAACAATATGTGAAATGCTGGACTTCATCATCAAAAAAAATGTGAAATTTGGGGATGAGACATTTAGGCAGGGAGTAGGCATCCCCATGGGCACCGACTGTGCTCCCCTTTTGGCTGATCTCTTTCGTTAGTCATACAGAAGGTTTGCTCGGATTGAAAAAATCTAAACAAGGGAATCTGGAACTGAGGCGTTTAACGGATGCTGCGGGTATATTGATGATGTGATATTAAAAAGTGTTCAAATAGCCAATTCCCTTCCACTGATTTGCCCACATGAATCTACCTTGATCTATGCCAAAAGATTCAGAATGGCAAAAACCTCTCCAAAAAGACTGCATGACAAAAGAGATGACTGCAACTTACCAATAGTCATATGTCCAAATTTCCTTTATGTCAAACAATATTCCGGCAGCTTCAGGCTTTCACAACTTTTGAGGTACAGTCGAGCACATACTCTCTACGAAAATTTCAATGAGCGTCACACAACTCTTGCTCAAACATGCAAAGCCTCAGAAAGTCTTTCTAAACGTTTCTTTTTTTAAGAAATGTGGAGGATATTTCTAATATTGACACACCAGTGACAAAAATGAGGTCAGATCCAATTTCCCTACTTAGGCTTGGACCATGTATTCGCGTGTTTTTCCCTGTATTGTAATCATACATTTAGTGATATTAACTTGAATTAAAGTCAACTGGTATATGCAGCCAAAGCCCCGTCTTAACGATCATGTATGAGTGAAATGAGCTTGCGAGCTTACATATGGTACTCAGTTGAATAGCAAAATTGTCATATGCAACCTATGTTTTTTGTTGTCCAAACATTTACCGACATTCATGCCCTTTTCATTGTCCAAGACACTCTTTGAGACCGAAGGCCGAGAAGGTATGAAACAGCAAACGTGCAGACTCACTTGCCTGTTTTTTCCCGCTCACTTGGGTTCCACATATTTCATGTCTTCGGGTTTCATTTCTAACCCGCACTTTTCCAACTGTGTCTTCTAGACAACTAATGTTTGAATCTGACTGTAAATGACAATGTCATTTGAAACAGACACTTTCTCCCGGACTTATTTGTTCCGATTCGTTACGGTCTGACTGTTGTAGTTCTTCTTGCTTCTTGCCTTGATTGACAGGCCCTAAGAACTTTGTTTTGATCCTACACTCCATTGATTGGCTACTGACTTGTTAAGTTATGTGCATAAATTAAACAGTTACTTGATTCATGTCACGCCACGGTATATTTCCTACACCTTGAATCTTTATCAATCTCGTCATTTTTTTCTGCTGTGATACATGCATCTTTTTTAGTTAAACTATTGTAGATAACACTTATTCACTTACAAGGATTGACTGTGTATTTTCTTACGCGGATTCAAACAGTTTACACATCGACTTTTCGATTCATATCTCAATGAACCGAAAATGATACACAGTCAATACTTAAATAATTAGTAACATTTTCATATCTTTTTAATCAAAACAAATTACCCACTCGTCAAACTGTACACGTCCTTCCTGGTGGTTGATTTCCCAAACTTTTTGAAGAGTCCCAATCCTGCCCATGCTCTGGTAGAAAGAATAGGTAATGATGGTTTATTTCAGAAACTGACGTGACCAATTTTAGAACTTGGTTCCAAATGTTTATTAACCATATGAAAATAATGTCATTAATTAATCACATTATGTGATAGAATGTAGACATGAACACGACTATTATCTCACCAGCACTATAACTAGCACTATGCCCCCAAACATGAACACAGACTGCAATACATCCGTCCACACCACGCTCCGTATGCCGCCCTGAAATAACATGGGAGGGAAAATAAAACCTTCTCCATATATACATTTGTTATAGATGAAGTTGATCTGCTTCATCTATACTTGAACAATGTTACATTGAAACACATACAATGTAATTACGCAATCAAATGTCAAATCTGTAATGCATACTCTAAATAATGAAATCAATACAAATAAGAAGACGCAGGTACCAGTCCAGTTCCGCACATACAAATTGTCACGACATAGAAAGCGATTTAAAGCATTTTCTTGAAAAGAATCCTTCCTCATATCAGCAAATGAAAAATGGTACAGGTACCTCCTTTAGTTCCCGCACAAATTCTTCTGAACTTAGGATATGTGTGAAGACGTCATCATGTCCAATAATACAAAAACAATTAGTTATATGAATATATCAGTCAACATATAGCAATATTTGAAATATTTGTACCACAATCCAGTGATAGAATATAGATCTGCGAGGATTCACAGATAATCTGCAGTTTTACCGCGTCTTTAGCACAAAATAAAACCTAGCCTAAATGGAATCTCGACACCGTTTTGCAATGATTACTCACAATGGATGTGTAGACTGTGCCGACGAGTCCGACAATCACAATGGACATCCAAAGGGGAATGCCTGCAGCTGGAGACAAAGCAAAGAAGATCGGTGCTGAAGATTACGTCCTGGGGGAATCAGTAGGGGCAGAATGGATGCGCATGAGGACATACAGTTTGGTTTGTTTCCAGATGTGTAAGTGTTACTGATCCCACAAAATAATACAAAGGTAATTAATGTTCCAAGTCTTATGTTTATCAACATTTCCCGTAGCACTCCTTTACTACATTTATTCAGACATCATTGATGTCACCTAAGAGAACATACTGTATATGCTTCTATTGCAATCGAACTGCCTTGTGACCAGATTATTTATTTACTTACATACTTGGAGAGCCAGAGCAGGAGAAAATAACGCCACAGCCATGTATATAACCTAGATATTAGATCCATAGGATTAGAATATACCATATTACAAGCTAGAAGTCTGCAAATCATTTATTAAGAGCAGGCTAAATAAAGTAGAATCTTGCACATTGTAACATTGTTCAAAACAATGGATGTCTTGCGAACACTGTGGTGTAATAGAGTAATTTGAAAACTTTGATGACTGCTAAAATTGGTATCAACATATATACAATTTGGATATGGATAATTCTACTTGAAACATGAGACACTGTTTCCGAGTCTTACCGTTTGTAACATTCCAAGGAATGTCCCGAATATGCGCACTGCAGTTGAATCAAATCTTCTTCCAAGATACTTTAAACCGAAAATGTAGGCAGTTGATCATATGCAACAATCACAAAACCATAAAAACCGTCAACGATCATCCATCGAAACAGATGTGTCATTTGTCAAAGGCTATTTGTTCTCTCAAAATAATTTTAAAATATCATCTAAAAAGTTATTCATTTCTAACAATGATATCATAGTGCTTGTTGTTGCCATTGAGTCCGATGGTTAGCTCATGCCGATAAGTTTGTCTACTTGAATAGCATAATATATATTTAAATATATAATGAGGGCGTCATGGTCAATGATAAATACAAAAATCTTTGGAATAGGCCTGTATACAGCCTCAGACCTATCCAGGCCAACAAACCTGATCTATTATGTGTTGATAAATCCAATCAAATCATTTATATCATTGGATTTTCTTTCCCTTTTCACACTCATGTGATTGACAAGATTCAGGATAAACATGGCAAATATGCGGACATTGCTTTCGTAATGTCACGCTTGCATCCCAAGAACCAAGTTGTCCGACTCCCCATTGTTCTCGGTTCCTGAGGTTTGGCACCTCCCAATCTGTTGACTGACGTTGTTAGATTACCCGGGTTTGCTACTACGAATACAGACCTTACAATCTTGGTAATGCATAAGGCTGCAGTGTTTGGGAGTCTATACATTCTCCGAAAAGTTCTGAGTTGATTTGACTGGGGAGGGCTTCCTGGGAGAAGTCCTATTCGCTGTCTGGGCTGCATGTAAAGGGCACAAGGGCCCTGAGCTGATGATGAGTCTAACCAGCCTGACTGTGCCAGAATCACCCAAACCCTCTATGATGCACTTTTTTATTTTAATCTGACCATAATAATTAATAGAAGTGACAAAACATTTCCAGAATAATAGGAAACCTCTTCTAAAAGCAGGGACCATTGTACGATTCCAAATATATCATGAGGGTGTGTTCACGAATCTCTATCAAATGGGGTGCTGTGACATGTATGTGCCACACACGATTGCACCCGTCATAAACACATCAATGGCTGATCAGTTCTCACCTGAAGTTGTAACCTGATCCAACAACTTTTTGAGGCAAGAGCGGTATGACAGTCTTTGAAATCTTCAAAGAGAGAGTATGCTCGATTGTACCTTAAAAGTTGATGAAAAAGGCTGGAGCTGTAGGAAAATAGTTCGATAAGAAGGGAAAGTTGGCTATTGACAAGTTTAAGTAATCTCTCTTGTCATACAGCCTTGTGGATAGTTATAGTCACTCTTCATTCATAGATCGTAACATGAAAGAGATGAGGCTGTTTCACGTATGTCTTTTATTTCTAGGTCAGGTGGGTAAACCAGCGGAAGGGAATTGACTATTTGATCATCATGAATCATATCAGATAACCGATCCACCTGAAGCCAAATCAAGAGGTTATTTAAGCGGTTGACACTAATGATTCAGGTGTAGGTGGAAGCTTCTGATCACCGTATTCGTGTTTCTTGTTTAACTTTGAACTCGGTGTAGGCTTCCACTTGTGAGGATAAGTCATTTTAGTTCTTTTATGAGAGCTTCATTTAAGTTCTCTAATTTTTTGGTTTGTCCTGGTTAATCATCCGGGTTATAGTCAGTGCATGAACAAGCACGTGGACGTAAGCAGAATGACATGAACTTGTGTAGGGTGTAAATGGCCCATAAAATTTGTAAGTATTAACAATATATATAAGGAACAACATGTAAATCATAACTAGCAATGCTATAACAAATGTAAATGGTGTAAAAGGGTAAATTGCATGTTGAGAAGGTTGAAGTGTGTATCACAGATGTTTCGTTTAAAATCCGGAAAATAATGTTGAAAATAACATAACATGTACTTACTACCTTAGTTACAAGTTGTAATATTTCCCATTTGTTTTTATTATAGCTTGTACCTGTCAACAATAGGCCTTACAATTAAAGGGCCAGTAAAGGAATTTGAAGGAAAGACATAATACAAAATATCTGTCAATGATTCAAGACTGAATCAAATATGTATTCATCAATCTATGCTGAAGTTATAAAATAAACCATTCAAGACAGTGTACTGGATTATGTGTCAATGGCCAAAGCGTATCACCTACATAAAAGTACAAGAAATTTGTATACATAACAAAGAATGTTATCATCAGACATTAGAAGTGACACAGACAGCTGGATTGCTAGTGACAGAATGTCTAATGTAACAATAAATAAAGATGAAGTTCAGAGTGAAAGGATAATTCAACTGAATAAAGAAAGAGCGGGTATCCAATCTGCATTCACCAGAACTGAAAATCAGATAAATGGTCTCATTGTAAATAAGAATGCTAGTCCTACAGACATTGAACATGTTGAAGGATCAGTGAAATCAATTGAGAAAATCTTTGACAGTTTGACACAGAAAGTAAATCAGCTGAAGGAGATAGTGCGAGATGATGCAGAAGAGATTAGTAAACTGGACATGTACATGAATAAGATGTCAGATAGACTGAAAACAGTGATGTCTAGTGTACAGATGTGGCATCATGATACAGTCAAACCAAGTGACACAGCGAGTCAGGTAGGAAGCCATGCAAGTAGTGGAAGCACGAGATCGAAGATTGCTGCAAGGAGAGCTGCACTGAAAGTCAAACAATCTGCTCTGAAGAAGAGTCAGGAACTGAAGTTAAAGAAATTTGAACTTGAATTACAAGAAGAGACTCTTCAAATGGAGACTGAGCTTGCAGCCGCTGAAGCTGAAATAAAGGCAATCAATGAAATCGATGGACCCCCTTCTGTTAAAGATGATGGTATAATGGGCACAAATCCCAAAACAGTGCATTTAGTGTCAAGTAGCCCGATACCCACAGACAGAGTGAGTGATCAGCAACTCAATCCAAATGCAGTGTCTTGGACAAGCCATAATGATACTGTTCAACCACCACAACCAGATAATACGCAGTATGAAATGTTACATTTGCTTCAGTTGCCAAAAGTTGAAATCATGAAATTTGATGGAAATCCTCTGCAATACTGGGCATTCATCAGGTCTTTTGACATTAGTATAGGGGAAACATCAATCAGCAATAGTGCTAAACTGAATAGGCTTTTACAGTACTGCACTGGGCATGCTCAAGAGGTTATAGAGTGCTGTGTAATCTTGAATCCAGAGATTGGTTACTTTCAAGCCAGAAAGTTACTGTTGGAGAGATTTGGCAATCAATATGTCATCGCTAAACCATGGGTGGATAAGGTGACAGAAGTCCCCAACTTGAAACCTAATGACAGTGCTGGACTGAGAAGATATGCGGATTCTGTTAGAAGCTGTGTGGTTTCACTTACAGCAATGAGCAGACTGGGTGAAATCGACAATCAATTGAGAATGAGAAAGATTGTAGAGAAGCTTCCCTTCTTCATTCAAGGTAGATGGAGAAAAGAAGCTGTAAATGTTATAAAGCGCAACGGTCAGTATCCAGGAATTGGGCATCTTGCTGAATTTATAGAAATTGTTGCTGAAGAACTGGATGACCCGGTGTTTGGAATCAGTGTAAAGGATTCTACAGAGAAACCACCTCCACAAAGGACAAGCTTCAAGTGTAAGTCAGCTTCCGATTTTATTGCACAAGGGAACATTACTCAGGAAAACAGAAGCCTTCATGAACAGCCACAGAGAGCTTGTAAATGTTGTACTGGCAGTCATCCTCTTTACCAGTGTCCTACTTTCAAGAAGATGACTTTACAGAAGAGACTGGAGTTTACAATAAGGCAGAAGTTGTGCTTTAATTGTTTCTCATCAAGGCATTTGTCATCTCGATGTATGAAGGACAGCATTTGTGATAATAGCAGTTATAAACAACATAACCGGAAGCATTCCAGTTTGCTCCATGACAGTTCAAGGACATCTTTGAAATCTGTTAAAGAGCCGATTCCAGACAGCAAGGATACGAATCCCACGTTACATTCTCCAAGTTGCAGTGAGCATGCAGAGAACAAGATTCAGTCAAGTTCAGTGTATGGAGTCAATGGAGCCGGAGGAACAAGAATAGCTCTCCCCATAGTTCCTGTCTGTGTCAAAGGATGTAGTGAACATGAAGTAATTAAAACTTATGCTTTGTTAGACCCAGGAAGCACAAATACCTTTTGTTCCAAAGACTTGGCAAATACTTTGAAGTTGGATGGCAGTGGTGCTATGCTTTCTTTAAATACTCTTACTGACAAAAGCTATGAGTCTCAGACAGAGGTTGTCTCCCTTAGCTTAACAGACATCAATGGAAGACATGTTACAAACATGTCAAATGTATTTGTGCTCTCTCAGATGCCTGTGTTAGAAGGCAGCGCTGTATCACAGTGTGATGTTGACAAGTGGAAACACTTTCAAGGGATTGATCTACCCATGGTTAAAGGCAAATTTGCCAAAGTGACAGTGCTGACAGGTCAAGACAATCCGTTAGTTTTAACGCCACTTGAGGTGCGATCAGGGAAAGCTGATGAGCCCTATGCCACAAAAACAATATTCGGATGGGCCATCAATGGACCTTTACACAGAGGCATTCAGCAAGACATGACGTCCAACTTTGTGCAAGTTGAAGCTAACTTAGATATATCACAAGTCGAGAAGTTCTGGCATCTGGACAATGTGAGTGATGGAAGATCACAACTTTCATTCCATGACAAGCAGGTCATTCAATTATGGGACAATACTGTTGAGAGGGAGAAGAGGCATTACAAGTTACCTATACCTTTCAAAGTAAATCCCCCTAATTTGCCTAACAATTTCTGCATGGCTGAAACCCGCCTAGCATCATTTACCAAGAAGCTGTCTAGGAATGATGATATGTATGAGCATTACAAAGCAGGTATTGATGACATGGTGTACAAAGGCTACGCAGAGAAGGTTCCTGATGATGAAGTATGTATTGATGATGGATCAGTCTGGTACCTCCCTCATCATGTAGTCACCAGTGACAAGAAGCCAGGGAAATTCAGAATTGTGTTTGACTGTTCAGCCAAGTTTGGTGGAATCAGCTTAAATGAATCAGTTCATCAAGGTCCAGATTTAACCAATACTTTGATGGGTGTACTGTTGCGCTTCCGTGAGAAAAGGATTGCCATCGCCGGTGATATTGAATCAATGTATCACAGAGTAAAGGTCGCTGATCAACATCGCAATGCTTTGAGGTTCCTTTGGTGGAAGAATGGTGAACTAGGTGGAGATATAGAGGTCTATAGGATGACATCACATCTATTTGGTGGTATATGGAGCTCCAGTTGTGCCAATTATGCACTGAGGAAAACTGCAGCAGACAATGCGAATGATTTTGATAAAGATACAATTCAGACTGTTACTGACAATTTTTATGTAGATGATTGTCTGAAATCTGTTGATTCCAAGGAGAAAGGTATCAAGTTGGTTCAGAATGTGTGTGATCTCCTACAGAGAGGAGGTTTTAGGCTCACAAAATGGACTAGTAATAGTAGAACAGTACTCCAGAGTATCCCAGTTGAGGAAAGAGCCAAAGAGTTGAAAGACATCAATCTGTGCGATGATGAGCTCCCTCAAGAGAAGGCTCTTGGCGTGAAATGGGACACTGAAACTGATCAGCTTGGTTTTAAATTCCAACCAAAGAATAGGCCTGCAACCAAGAGAGGTCTCCTCAGTATACTTACCTCTGTCTATGATCCAATAGGATTCTTGTCACCACTGATCTTAAAGGCAAAGATGATATTTCAGGATGAATGTCGACTCCGAAAAGGATGGGACACCGCTTTGGAATCTATCAGCCATGAAAGGTGGTCAAACTGGCTGTCTAAGCTGTGTCATATTGAAGACTTCACTGTCCCAAGATGTGTGATTCCGAATGACTTTTGTGAAATGATGTCTGCTGAATTACACCATTTTGCCGATGCTTCAGTAGCAGGATATGGTGCTGTATCGTATGTCAGGATCGTTGATTCATGTGGAAGAATCCATTGCTCCTTTCTGATGGCAAAGTCGAGATTAGCGCCAATCAAAAGTATCACAATACCAAGGCTTGAACTCTGTGCGGCTGTGCTGAGTGTAAAACTTGATGAAATGTTACGCAAAGAACTGAGAATGGAAACCGAACAATCTACATTTTGGACAGACAGCATGATAGTACTACACTATATCAAAAATGACTTTTAAAGATACCAAACGTTTGTCGCCAACAGAGTGACACAAATTCGTGAAGGTTCTTCACCACAAATTAAAGTTGGAGATATGTCCCATCATCACTCAATCCTGCTGATGATGCATCTCGTGGACTTGATGCTGATGAACTACTTGCAAAGGAAAACTGGTTGCAGGGACCGAGCTTCCTGTGGGAGAATAAAGATACTTGGCAAAAAACACCAACAGTACTTCCTGTGTCAGGAGAGGATTTGGAAGTTAAGAAAGTGAAGGTCAACTTTGCAAGTTCTGATAAGGTTGAACCATCCACTACAGATCGACTTCTTAGACGATATTCCTCTTGGTACCACCTCAAGAAAATGGTTGCTTGGATACTGAGACTAAAGCACTGCTTGTTAAAACATGTCCGAGAGGGAAATTCTGAAGAAAGGATTTCCATGGAACCTCTTGTTGTTTCCGAGATGAAACAAGCTGAAACTGAAATTGTTAGGTACACTCAGAATCTTGCATTTCGGCTTGAAGTGGAATGTCTTCTAAATGACTGCTCCATCACAAAATCAAGCCCAATTTACTTACTTGAACCATTCTTGAATCAAGATGGAATCCTATGTGTAGGAGGGCGTTTGAATAATGCTCCAATATCTGAAGAATCTAAACATCAGATGATCCTACCAAAAGGACATGATATTGTCACGTTGATTGTTCGTTGTTATCATGAACAATTAGGTCATTCAGGGACTGAGCATGTTCTGTCGCATGTAAGACAACGGTTCTGGGTCATCAGTGCTCGCAGAACAATCAGGAAAGTACTGAAAGACTGTGTCAAATGCAAACGATTACAAGGAAACGCTCCCATCAGAAAATGGCAAATCTACCAGAAGACCGAGTCGCACCTGGAAAACCACCATTTGCTCACACAGGTGTGGATTGTTTTGGACCGTTTCTGATCAAACGTGGGAGAAGCGAAGTTAAGCGATATGGTTGTATCTTTACCTGTTTAACAACAAGAGCTATTCACCTTGAGAAGCTAGACAGCATGGACACGGATTCCTTCATAAATGCTTTGAGACGGTTTGAAGCACGAAGAGGCGTCCCAGTTATAGTACGTTCTGATAATGGAACCAACTTTCGAGGAGCTCAGAAGGAATTAAGAGAAGCAATTCGTGCATGGAATCACCATGAAATCCAGGAACACCTGCTACAGAAAGAAATTCGGTGGATGTTTAATCCCCCATCTGCCTCTCACATGGGAGGAGTTTTGGAGAGACAGATTAGGACCGTGAGGAAAGTACTGAATGCATTATTGTATCAACAGTATGGCCTGCATGATGAAGGATTGTCAACGTTGTTCTGTGAAGTGGAGGCAATTGTCAACAGTAGGCCAATAACCATCGTATCTGACAGTCCCAGTGATATGGAGCCACTTACACCAAATCATATCTTGTTGCTGAGATCAGGAAATTCCTCACCTCCAGGAAGGTTTTCAGTACATGACACTTACCGCAGGCGCTGGAAGCATGTTCAGTTCCTTGCGGACCAGTTCTGGAAACGATGGCTCAAGGAATACTTACCAGGCTTACAGCTCCGTCAAAAGTGGCTACAATCTACAGTGAATCTCAAAGTGGGAGACATAGTGCTACTTGTGAATGAAAATTCTCCAAGATGAATCTCGCGAGAATCACAAATGTGTTCCCGGGCAACGATGGTCTAGTGCGATCGATTGAAGTGAAAACTAAAGACTCTGTGTTAATAAGGCCAATAAGCAAAGTGTGTCTACTTGAATCAGTTTATGATGCATGAAAGTGATGAAACAAAAGACCACGATATGAGATGGAAATGAAAACCTGAGCAGTTGAACATTGAATGTGAAGGACTGATATGACCTCAATATTGAGTTATAATGTTAAATGTTTCACATTTAAGGGGCCGGGAATGTAGGCTACCACTTGTGAGGATAAGTCATTTTAGTTCTTTTATGAGAGCTTCATTTAAGTTGTCTAATTTTTTGGTTTGTCCTGGTTAATCATCCGGGTTACAGTCAGTACATGGACAAGCACGTGGACGTAAGCAGAATGACATGAACTTGTGCAGGGTGTAAATGGCCCATAAAATTTGTAAGTATTAACAATATATATAAGGAACAACATGTAAATCATAACTAGCAATGCTATAACAAATGTAAATGGTGTAAAAGGGTAAATTGCATGTTGAGAAGGTTGAAGTGTGTATCACAGATGTTTCGTTTAAAATCCGGAAAATAATGTTGAAAATAACATAACATGTCCTTACTACCTTTGTTACAAGTTGTAATATTTCCCATTTGTTTTTATTATAGCTTGTACCTGTCAACAATAGGCCTTACAATTAAAGGGCCAGTAAAGGAATTTGAAGGAAAGACATAATACAAAATATATGTCAATGATTCAAGACTGAATCAAAAATGTATTCATCAATCTATGCTGAAGTTATAAAATAAACCATTCAAGACAGTGTACTGGATTATGTGTCAATGGCCAAAGCGTATCACCTACACTCGGCACTATTCCATCTCTATAACGCTGGCATGTAAATAATCGAATTTTGACCAGACAAATCTGTTTGATATTATGAGAAACGCCCCATGCCATCGGGATGCACTGGGAAACAATGGACCAAGTACCCGAGTCTGACCGTCCGGTCCATTCAATCCAAACGTACATGCATAACATAATGGGGACCTACCTCAAATATGCTGACAATGCGTAACGGGTATAGAAGCGGGAGACAAGTATAGACGCCGGCAAGGTAGGTGAAACTTCGGCTTATGAACAGGTAGATAATCATAGTTCCGTATGTGTATATCTCCGAGGGGTAGCCCAGTAAGGACACTGCCGATTGCATGGTTACGAACATGGAGATAGCAACGGAGAAGACTCCCATCTGTCGGTTCCCCAGGAGGTAGGTTTCTCTTGTGTTCTTACTCCTTACAGCGAAGAACACCCCGATACCGAATGATAAGGCGAGCATCACTCCAATGACAATGTAATCGGGGGTGTTTAGAGTTTGCATTTTGATCTGAAACAAAACATGATACGGTTACCATACTCCTGTCTCATAGGATTTGGGGTATAATAACGTGTTAATACGACAATAAATATTATAATCTTTTCTTGTAAACTCATTGCTCCATTACAGTTGAATAAAAAATACAGACACAGAAATGTTCACAATACTCACATCATAGAAAACTGAAAGTGGACAGTAAAGAATTGCTGAAGTTGGTTGTTATGGTGGTGCAATCAGGGACCACCATCTAATGGTCTATATAATATACATATATTCCAAATACATATTATTACTTCCACCCGTATGTAAGTAAACGAGTCCGTCTTGCGTAGATACATCCATATAAGTCTAAAGTGTCTGCTTGTGCCATCACAATGTTTCCCTAACGTAACAGTGGATTTAATTCACATATGTGACTTGACTTTAATATGTCTACACACATGTAAATGCATATGTGACAATGAATACTAAAGACCTGAATAAAAAGCACCAGGTCGTTAGATTAGTCTAGTCACAGTCTTGTGACTGCACAGCTCTCCCGCATAATGAAATAGTCTTCTTTCCTATGCTGTTTTGCAAAGTCCGGAGGTAGTCGTACTGTGACACTGCAATCTTCGTTAGAGAATTAGTGACCCTACAACTACATTCTCTTGTGATTTAATGACACATTCTTACCATGTATTGATTTATTTTATGTATTCTTAGATGTGTTTACTGCCTTTTTCATGTGTTGAAAATGTTTTTGGGAATTATCTATGTACCCACAGATATTGTTACACAGTTATAAATTCTTTGCCTCCTCAATAATTTTACATAGCTTGTTGTATATCGTCAATGATATATACCGTTGGATAGCTTATGTTCAGCACTTTATTTTGATACTTACATGCTCCTTATGGATTTGGTACTTAGTTACCTATTCGTGTTTTTCAAATGTTAAGAAACAAACTTTGGCTAAGAGCCTCGAGATTAGTGTATTCCCCGGCTGGCCAGGAGAGACTGCCCTCTCCGAGGTCTGCATGCATATATATAAGTTTATATAAATTTTCTCAAGATATTGTCTTCCAGGATTCGTTAGGCAGTACTACGGTCAGCTCGCTACTAGGTGGTCGCTTGGAACTCAGGTTTCGTTAGTAAGGGATTTCAGGGCTCTTTTGATCTGATTGTGACTTACTCTGGCTGTATTGAGCTCATCATGTTAGCTTGGGTTTTTCATACACCATTTTTCAAGTAATCTGTGGATAACCAACCTTCCTGCGATTGTCTAGTTCAGAACAAGTATCGTGTATATTTAGGAATTTTAGAATTTACTTTTTCAAAGAGACTAAGTCTTTGGTCTCTTAGACTAATTAGATATTTAGACGTTCTCGTCTTTTTTATTGTCCAAGGAACTCATTTTTAGGGTTATTTCACCCAGCCAAGGTTATTCGTTCATTCGAGCATTGAGTTAATTAGCTCAGGTGTTAATTGGTTGCAGCCGACTTAATTGGCTGTCTGTGCATGTTGTCAATATCTTGTCATAGGGTTGTTCTAGGTACACGCAATATATTACTGTAATACAGTTGTTTAGCTAAGCCGCTTGTGTATATGCTCTGAAGTATGTAGTCAATATTGATTGTTTTTTTTTTTCCTTACTATTGTCATCTTTTGGTACAATCAGCTGCTGGTAATAAACCTATTAACTCATTTTCAGTATTACGTTCTTCTTGTTGAATGACACCCCTGATCATTGGAGAACAGCTCCATGACGGGACAATTGTTATTTGGAGGCTGGTCTGGGAGAGCTCTAGTTTGAGGATGAGGGGTTCCTTATGGTATTCGTGGTCAGTATTTGTGGTTCACATAGGGCTATATGGCAGAAAACATCTATAATAAAGAAGGCTTCTGATGATGAATTTTTGGAAAATGCTGTTAATTATCAAGTTGATATGCAGACTGGCTTAAGCATTTGGCAAATTGGGGAAGAGTTGACCTCCGAGTTATGGTCGGATCAAATCGAGGTAGAGGAGAATCAGAACGGGGCGAAAATAGGTGCAAATAGCGCAGGTCTCTCCTTTGCAGAACAGTTGGATTTGAGAAAACTAGCATTAGGAGAAAGGAGGTTAGAAGCTGAACTTGAGGAACGGCAGTGAGATGCTCAAAGAGAAGAAATAAGGTAACCACATGAATTCAGATTAAGAGAGTTGGAAATAAGAAAAGGTGGCAGTCAAGCTGGTGATAGGATAAAGGCAGTTTGAAAGGATAACAGGTAAGTTACAATGGTCTGAATAATATTGGCATATTCTTATTCCGTCTAAGTTTAAAGGCAATTCTCAGGGCTTGTGAGGTGACACATGAAGCATATCGCCAGAAATTTCAAGGTCTCAAGAAGGCAGGTTCTGAAAGTAACGCCGAGTTTACTACAAGAATGGCAATTTGTTTGATAAGTGGACTAATGCAGAGTCTGTGAGGGTGGTGTCTGAGCTTAGAGATTTGATGGTGTTAAAAGAGGTCAAGGATACTAGGCCGCCTGGTTTGAAACTTCTCTGATCAGATCAGAAATTGGTCAAGTTGTCAGAAGTGTTCACAAGGTTCAGTCACCTGGCAGAAGCTCTTCTCACAATAGTGTATGTCCGTATGTTAGACATACTAATGGCAATGGCAGTTGTGGTGGTGGGCAAAGTCATGGTCTTAGTAGTGGTCAGTTTGCCCAAGCTTGTGGTCTGAGTGGTAGTCAAAATGGAAGCAAGGCTAATTTGTTTGCTAGTAGTGGTAGCCAAGTTGTTACTTCCAGAGTACTAGATGCAGTAATTTTGTCAAGTCAAATCAGTTGGTCATTGATTGTTTCAAACGGAAAGGGATAATCAGTTGGCGATAGGCTTTGTTCAGACCTCAGCAGGTGCGGAAGGTAGAGAGATAGTTAAGTTGGCCGCTCTGATAAATATGTGCATTGTGGTGTGGTGTCAGGTGTAGATGTCTTGTTAGGTAACGACTTAACAGTCAGGTGTTATCCAGATCAATTGGTAACAGGAGTCGTTGTGTAGGACTCAGAAGAAAGACGAATCTTTTGAGGTGATATAGTCTTTGGTGTCGTCTGATGATCAGGATTATTGGGAATTCTATATTCATTGAGAAGGCATCATCAGGCTGAGTTTGCTGGCCATCTTGGTAGGACTAAGACCAATAAACGGATAAGTTCTGATTATTTCTTGCCAGAAATGTACAGTGGCAAAGAAGATTTCTGTCAGCTTTGTTATATTTGTCAAGTATCAGGAAAACTCAATAGGGAAGGTAGACAGGAATCACTAGGTTTTTCCCAATTTGAGTTCTATTGTCGTACTCCCAAGGGCCCCTTAAAATTGGTAAAAGACAAGTGGCTAGGTCATTTAAACATATTTAATCACTATAAGTGAACGGGATTGGGGGACAAGTTCTTAGATTGCTCCCTACCTGGTATTTACACAATTTCACATTCAAGATATATGCATACAACACAGTAGAAGAGACATAAAATGTTTGAGAGGGAGAGGGAGAGGGACAGGGAGAGAGTTTGAAGGGGAGATATGCATTGTTGAATGAACAGTTCTTTACACAAATCTTTTAAATGTACATATATCTTGTTGTACTGCCTTAAATATAGCTTCATTTTCTGTAACAACGTGATCTGCATTGCCGTATGACAGTAAGTGTACATCAACGGGTATGTTATGAACAATATTTTTAAGGCTGTTAAACATAATTTCACGCTGATGACTAAACAGTGTACATTCCATGAGATAATGATATGCATTTTCACATGTTCTTGAACATGTACAGTTCGGGTGATCTTTTATACCAATTCTGTATAACTCATAATTCAATTGACTGCACATATATCTCTGTTTTGTGTGTAAGATATTATATTTTCTTTTTCCATATGCGAAGTACACAGGTGACGTGGGGTGGTGCTTTTGTAAAGAATTTTTAAAACAAGAAATCGTAGAATTTTGATCTGATAACGGAATAGAGTTCCACTATCGGATAGACGATGGGTAAAAGGATTCACACGAATGTCTTAGTATTGTGAGAGGAACACTGATGTTTTCAGAGTTTCTGAGACTGGGACTTTGCAGCAACGGTTTTGGGTAGAATGTCTGTTAGATTGAAGGGGCCATATTATGATTAGTTTTTGAAGAAAAGGCAAAGTATACGTTTCTTTCTATGCTCAACTAAGGGTTCCCAACCGGTTTCGTAATATAATGAATGCCTGTGGGGCATTTTTAGATAGACCAGTTACAATGCATGCAGCTTCTAATTGTAATTGTTCTAATTTCTCACAGTGTGGTCTTATGAACATTTTATATATACTCAACAACAAAAGTTCCTGTGACACCAATATTTTAGTGTATTTTTCAAACAAGTAAAGTTTGGTTTACAATATTGTAGTACATGTATGAAATCAAGTCACAAAAACGTAACTGCTACAGAAAAGCATGTATTCCATGCAAAAGCATTTTACTATCCAAGAATGGGTATAAAAACATATGCGTTAACGGGATTCCATATGCATTGTTTAGCATCGTGCTGACAACAACCACTCAGAAAAACAACAAAATTACGTAATTATTCAACATTATGAAATGCCACGCATGTCGCGAAAATGAGGGTCTGTGAGTCATAAGTATGCTTGGAGCAGGATCGAGTCAACGTGATGTTGCAAGACAATTTAACGTCCGCAGAAACACCATTTGGTGTTTATGGCAACGTTGGTAACAGACGAATGCAGTCAGAGACCATCCTCGGAGTGGGAGGCCTAGCGTAATAATTGACAAGACAACTGGATTCGAACAACACACCTACGAAATCGATTCCAGCCAGCAACATTGACTGCAAGAAGCACCCTGGCCTTCGACGAATATCTTCACAAACCGTACGTTGTTGCCTCAGATGTGCAGGGATTGTCGCCAGAAGACCCGCAAGACGTCCCATTTTGACAGGAAACCACCGTCAAGCACGTCTGATGTGGTGCAGACAGTATCTACGTGGGACGGCCATGCAGTGTGGACAAGTTCTATTCACTGACGAGTCTCGTTTTCACCTCAGCCTCGGCTATGGACGGATTCGAGTGTAACCGATGTCGAGGTGAACGTTACGTCAATCATTGTGTCATGGAAGAAGATCGGTTTGGGGGCGGCAGCGTTATGGTATGGGGTGGGATTACAGTAAGACAGAGGACCCGTTTGATAGAGGTAGAGGTAAATCTCAATGGACAGCGCTACCGCGACGAGATAATCGGCCCAGTTGTTCTACCGTAATTGCGTCGTCATGGCCCAGGCATTACGTTTCAACATGACAACGCCCGGCCTCATATTGCTCAACTTGTTCAGGATTCTCTTCAACAAAACAACTTGAATGTCATCCCCTGGCCGGCTCGCTACCCTTATCTCTCACCATTCGAGGACATGTGGGTTGAGATGGATCGGCGTCTTCGACGTCAACCACGTGTTCCACTAACACTCCAGGAACTACGAAACATGCTCCAGCAGATGTGCACAGATATTCCACAGTACTTTGTGCGACGCCTGGTCTATTCCATAA